ATCGTAGCCGACCCCTCTCACCCCGGACAAAACCGGTTTGTGCCCCTTCCATCTGGCAGGAGGCTGAGGTCCATCAGGACTAAGCCCTCCCGCCACACCAACAGTTTATTCCCATCGGCAGTCGGGCTCATCAACAGAGCCCGGTCGCCCACTGACTGACTATAACGTTCCACCGGTCACTCCCCTTCACACTGCACATGTCACTTTAACTGTCATTTTTCACTTTGTCGTCACTCGTCACTTATTCGGTAGTGCACTTTATGCTTAATATTTTTTAACTTTATTCTCTTGTTTTACACTAACCCATAGCCTTATTCCTTGTGCACTGCCGTCTTGTTTATTGTTGCACTGTCTACTGTCAAACTGCCAAGACAAATTCCTTGCATGTTTGACATATTTTGGCAATAAATGTTTCCTGATTCCTGAAATAGTCCTTGATCAGGTTATCTGCATTTTTTCCAAGAAGATTTCTGAAACAATATTTGAGCTTGATGGAGTAGCCTAAAACATGCTCAGTTTACGAGATACAAGCCAGCATTAGTCTGCCCATATTGCCCACTCAGAAACTGACACCAGTTGCAAGAAACTCAGAAACTCCTTTGATTAAAATCAGACATACCTGGTCGAAAACAGCCATGTTGCAAGCAGTCTTTTAATCAGTTGGTTCCCCTTCGGCGCAGACAACTGACCTCAGTGCATGAGTGCATGTTTACATGGGCCATGAATTTCTCAGGGGGAACTGCCATAAGCTTCTGGAACTCTGCATTGACCAAAATTAAAAAAAAAAAAAACACGATTAATATGGTATCCTGATGAATTATCATTTTAACAAATTAACTGCTCTGCTGAAAGTTTACAATTGTCAACTCCTTGCCACGCACAACAGTGCCGCCCAGATTGACAATTTCAGAATCTAAGATACTACAGATCTCTTGCAGCCGTAAAACCCAATAAAAGAGGTGCACCTCAACTTAAAATGCCAAGCTAAACGAGGATACCAAATTGGGCCACCACATGCATGAGGTAAAAAAAAGTTACTACCACCACAATAACACTTCACGTCAATTTGAAAGCCAAACGGTATAAAGATAAGTAAAATGCTTACCATTCAGAATACTCTGAGATCAAATCCACCCCTCTGCCTCTCTACTCTCTACTCTCTACTCTCTACTCTCTACTCTCTACTCTCTACTCTCTACTCTCTACTCTCTACTCTCTACTCTCTACTCTGTGCAGCACTAACTGCAGAATGCCTCTCATCCCTCTGCTACACCAGCCCTTTTATAGGGGAGATGTGGCACACCTGAAGACAATTACGAGACACACCTGACGACAATTATGAGACGCACCACTAGACAGCCACTCGTTAAAATAAGGCAGGCAACAAATAGAACCTCATCTGCAATACAACCTCGACAAAAAATGACAGCTACAAATTGTTGTATCTCCCCAAAAAGACATACATTTTCGCCTACGCTTATACTTTTTTCCCGACACCTGGCGCTTTCCACTCTCCCCTTTTGTTATTTATTCGTTAAGCCCCCATTTTTGATGGTACCATGCTTTTTTATATATCTTATGAACAAACATGTCAGGCTTTAACACCCAGGGCTACTAAAATGTAAGAGCTACTTGCCAGCAAAAGTATCTTGAGGCTATCCATGTTACTAGACGATTAAACACATCAGTAGATTTAAACACATTAATAAATCAAAAAATATTCATTTAAAACTCACTAACATCAGCATGACTCGCTGACATTAGCGTGACAATAGCTGGTTTGGTTCTGTCGGTTTACTAAATACTTAGTCCGGCATTACCTAATAAAATGTCTCACTCTGTTTTGCATCCGCCAATCTGCTTGTTGCTCCGTGTCAGAAACCTAAACACTCACTAAAACCCCGACTATTTGCTATCCTGGTTTCTGAATGGTGAATGAGCTCCCCAATGACATCAAGACAGTAGAAAGCTTAGACCGCTTCCGATGCAAACTTAAAAACGCACCTTTACCAAATACACCTGGACTAGTTAGCTACTTAATTACTTTATTAGCACTTACAACACACTTACTTATTGCACTTTGTAGTTTTGCTTTTTTAAAGGATTTGCACTTTCTCTTTTCTGGTTGCTCTGGTTCTGTTCCCTCTTGATTGAATGCACTTATTGTTAGTTGCTTTGGATAAAAGCTGTATGATAAATGTAAATATAACCAATTCAGGTGGACCTTTTAATATTTTCTAAAATGTTTACATTATTTGTACACGCAAAATAAAATGTAGCACTAGACTTGCCTTCGATCCAAGTCACGTAATGAGAACATGGAGGCTTTACAGTAGATAAAAAATCTGGAAAGATGTGGATTGCATGACATCAGATGCACCACAAGCAAAACTTGAGGCAGTTTTACTGAAATGAGAAAAGCAAGTTGAGGCCAAATTATTTGAAATCGATTCATGCCACAATAGTACCTTGGACTAACTAAAGCAGAAATCTTATTTAGAATCTTTTGAAACATTACGCTACATCAACTTCTACCAAAATACTCTTTTCAGGGCACCTTACAACGTAGGTGGAAGTACACCTTCCCAGGGCCCCAGAAGCTCAGGATTCGGACAAACAAATTGTAGCACTTAAATTGTACTTATAAATGCACTTATCTATAGAAAATTGTAAATTGGCTTATTTGATGAAATTGCACTTTGTTTCTTGCTCTTCTGAGTTTGTATCCCTATGGTTGAATGCACTTGTTGTAAGTCGCTTTGGATCAGGGGTTTCAAACTCAAATACACAGTGGGCCAAAATTTAAAATTAAACAACGTTGAACAAATTAACCTTTTAATATGAACCCAAACAAGTTGTGCTTTAACATTGAATATAGAGCAAGCAACACTTATATAACTTAATAGTGTAGACATGCAAAATCGAATTTCAAATTTTAAAAAACATATCAATGGCCTATTAAGTAAAGTTTAAATAAAGATTGCATGCCTCTTTTCTATTTGCAGTTTCCTGAGGTAAATATCAAAATAAACTTTTTCCACAGGCTAATAAATTTGAAAATAAAATAATTACAATGAATCAATCAATCAATAATTCAGGCCTTGGAATAGCAAGTAAAAGCGCATTAAGAAAACGTTAATTATTGCTCAGTTTGCGACACACTGATCTAGTCTGATGTGCCCGAGCCAGATACCTGGCATTTTCTTGCATAGTTCATCAATGTCTGGGCTCAGGCTCTGAGCTGAGGAAACCCTCAGTCAGGAACGAAAGTGTTCATCAGTCAGACGTCTCCTGTGAGATGTTTTCATCATCTTCATCAAGGAGAAACGTTGCTCACATAGATCAGTGCTGCCGAACATGGAGAGCGATTGAGCTCGGGTGCGGAGCTGAGGCGTTGTGTCAGGGATGAATTGTGGAACCTGTGCGGCGCCAACAGCATCATACTTTGACTTCAGTGTATCGTTGCACTGGAGCTCAATCAGCTCCATTTGGAGTTTAGTTTTAAAAGCTCTCACTGCTGCGTGCATGTCTGTGACGATGCAGCTGCAGGTGCAGCGCACCGAGATGCTGGAGATGTCCCACAGAAACGTTTGCTCCCGGAGCTCAGCGGTGTTCTTCCCTTTGCTTTGCAGAAACTGACGTGTTTCCTCACGCAGCTCGGGGGAGGCGGGGTGAGCGGGGGCTTCCTGCCGAAGCACGGGTCGCTACTGACACAGAGGAGATGTCTGGGTCCTGTCCTGATTGACAGCAGAGCATTATGGGATTTGTAGTATTAGCGGTGAATGCACCGCTGCTGTATAATACCGGCGGGCAGCTCTAATAGTGATTTGATATTGCCTCGCGGGCCAAATATAATTTCACGGCGGGCCAGAATTTGACACCCATGTTTGAATAAAAGCGTGAGCTAAATGACATGTAATGTAATTTCAAAGGTGCTTGTAAAACTGTGATTTTCATTCCCAATCCCTGTCCCAGGTTGTAAAGCTGCAGTATCATTTACCCAGCAAATAATTGAGTTGGAACAACTGGGAACTTTAAGTGGAATCACCACCAATTTCCGGTGGAATTATGCAAACTATTGATTTTAAAAAGGAGAAAAGATTACATGCATCTGACTTGAAGCAATTGTGTTATTCGTCATTTGTGTGATATCAATTCAAGTAATTCAATTAAGTTTTCCCATCTATCCTTTTTTTCAGTGAAGCACTGACTGGGTATAAGTTATAGACACACATTTTTTAGAAGCAAAGCACAAACTTTTGAATAGTTATAGACTGTTGCACAACAAGACGCATGGACCAACCATTATAATTTTATCAAATATGGCTACATTTTAGAACAGAATTGATGGGTCAGAGAAGAGAGACTAGCACAGATCACATGACAGTGGAAATAAGACACCGGAAATAAGAGGCGACAGACATTTGAGTCGTTAGGAGAGTGGTTGGATTTCTATATTAAAACACTTTGCACACTTCAGTTAACCAGACTGGTGTAAGATTCAGCCTTATGACATGAAAACGGGACAGAAAACATCAAACTCACATCAGCTGATCACAAGGTTACAACACGTTGGTTTGCTTCTCATCTCGGCTTTTGCAATTATTTAATCCCGACTATTTATTTATCAAAGTGTAAACAGAACCATGTCAATTATTTCAAATTATAGCTTATTAAAATAGATAGCCAGAATGAAGGATCCTCAAGACCTGCTCAACAGTCTCTAGCCTGGAGATCCCGGAAGCTTAGATACCAACTACAATCTCACGTCACATCCTTTAATTAAGCTGTTCTTTAACTGATGGGTTTACTCTCTATGGTGATTAATAAATACATTCCGTCTTAACACATGAATTCTTCTTCAGCTATTCAAAGAAACAAATTATGGATTGAGATTATGTGTCAAATTGCCATGGAAATTCATCTACTTCTAGATTCAGAGGATACTGTTGGTTTGAATGAGAGCATGCCATACAATGTTGACTTTGTTTTGAGCAGGAAGTCAAAGGTCACAGTCAACCCAACTGTTGAGACATCTGAACTTCAGTCGCCATGGTGATTGTGTTAACGCTGCAGGTACAGACGGTTTCGTTCACAAGAGTGAGCTCTCATTAACAAATACATGTTAATGTGTTACTTTGTTTTACTCCATATCACTTTCTTTTTCATCTCTAACGATCCAGACCATCAATTTGTTCTCCTCCCTCATTCTCTTTCGCCCGCTTGACTTTCAGTTTTCGACTGTCGTCCTCTCTTTTTTTCTCCTGCTTCTCACCATCTTTCTTCTTCTGCCTTGATCCTCCCTGGTTTTTCAGGTCCTGAAAGACCTCGGTGAAGAAATGTGGGTCAGCGTTGATTCGCAGCATATCAGCACTCAACCAGTCAATCAGCACCAGCGCTCGCTCCCAGAATGCATCGCGGCTGGCCTCCACTAAGAAAGGTTTCAGCGGGTACGAGATCTCATTGCCCAAGTAGGAGTACGCCAGGTAGAGACAAGTGAGGAAGGTAGCGTGGAGCTCCTGCTCTGAAGACACATCCTCGTTGACCGCCTCTCTGCATAACAGGTACACAAACACCAAACTGGCCGGACTGATGAAGCACTGGTCCTGCATGGGGACAGGAAACGTAGTGATATGCAGAAATAGTAGTAGTTTAACTATTACATTACATTACATGTCCTTTAGCTGACGCTTTTATCCAAAGCGACGTACAATAAGTGCATTCAACCATAGGGTACAAACTCAGGAGAACAAGAAACAAGAAAGTGCAATTTCCTCAAATAAGCCAATTTACAATTTGCTATAGATGAGTGACGTTACAAGTACAATTTAAGTGCTACAATTTGTTAGTCTTTAGTTGAGGTAGAGTCTGAAGAGGTGTGTCTTTAGTTTGCGGCGGAAGATGTGAAGGCTCTCTGCGGTCCTGATGTCTTCAGAGAGCTCGTTCCACCATTTCGGCGCAAGGACAGCGAAGAGTCGAGACCTAGTCGAGTGTTTTGCTCTCAGTGAGGGAGGGACGAGTAGTTTTGCAGATGCAGAGCGGAGAGTGCGGGTTGGGATGTAGGGTTTGACCATGTCCTGGATGTAAGCTGGACCCCATCCATTCACAGCATGGTACGTGAGCACCAATGTTTTGAACTGGATGCGGGCGGCCACCGGTAGCCAGTGAAGAGAGCGGAGGAGTGGAGTAGTGTGGGAGAATTTCGGAAGGTTGAAGACCAGTCGAGCTGCTGCATTCTGAATGAGCTGCAGAGGTCGAATGGCGGTGGCAGGGAGACCAGCCAGGAGGGAGTTGCAGTAGTCCAGGCGGGAGATGACAAGAGCCTGAATCAGTACCTGCGCTGCCTTCTGAGTGAGAAGGGGACGTATTCTCCTGATATTGTAGAGCGTGTATCTACAGGATCGCGTTGTCGCGGCAATGTTGGGAGTCAGGGAGAGTTGGCTGCCGAGTGTGACGCCGAGGTTCTTAGCGGTCGAGGTGGCCGTTAGTACGGAGTTCCCAAAGTTGACTGTCAGGTCCTGGGTAAGCGAATCTTTTCCGGGAAAGAGAAGTAGTTCAGTCTTGTCGGGGTTGATTTTCAGATGGTGGGCGGACATCCACTGAGAGATGTCAGTTAGACAGGCAGAGATCCGAGCCGCCACCTGGGTGTCCGAGTGAGGGAAGGAGAGAATTAGTTGGGTGTCATCGGCATAGCTGTGGTAAGAGAAGCCATGCGAGCGAATGACAGCGCCAAGAGAGTTTGTGTAAAGCGAAAACAGGAGGGGACCCAGCACGGAACCCTGAGGAACTCCAGTAGTAAGAGGACAAGGTTCCGACACAGATCCTCGCCAGGTTACCCGGTAGGTGCGACCATCGAGGTAGGATGAGAGAAGGGAGAGAGCAGAGCCTGTGACACCAAGTTCCTGAAGGGAGGAAATAAGGATCTGGTGGTTGACCGTGTCAAATGCAGCAGAGAGGTCCAGAAGGATGAGGACAGAGGAGAGAGAGGCGGCTCTAGCAGTGTGGAGTTGCTCAGAGACAGCAAGGAGAGCAGTCTCTGTAGAGTGGCCTGCCTTGAAACCTGACTGGTGGGGGTCAAGGAGTTTGTTACAGTGGAGATAAGAGGAGAGTTGATTAAAGATAGCACGTTCAAGGGTTTTGGACAAAAAGGGAAGAAGAGAGACCGGTCTGTAGTTGTTTTCTTCAGAAGGGTTGAGGGTGGGTTTCTTCAGGAGAGGGTTGACTCTTGCCTCCTTCAGAGAATTGGGAAAACAGCCAGATATCAGAGCGTTGTTGATGAGACAGGTGAGGAACGGAAGAAGGTGGGTGCAATAGATTGTAGAAGATGTGATGGAATGGGGTCAAGAGGGCAGGTGGTCGGACGGGCAGAGGTTACTAGGGTAAGAATTTGGTTAGGAGAGAGGGTGGTGAAAGAGGAAAGTGAGGGCGAAAGAGGTGAGGTCGGTGGGACGCGAGAAGTAGGAGGTGGGTTTGAGAAGGAGGAGCGTATGTCAGCTATTTTCTTGGTGAAGTAGTTGACAAAGTCTCCCGAAAGAAGGGTGGAGGGGGGAGGAGGGGTAGGGGGTTCGAGGAGATTGGAGAAGATCGAGAAGAGTTTTTTGGGGTTAGAGAATGAGGATTCGATTTTGGATTGGTAGAAGGAGCTTTTGGCAGCAGAGATAGAAGCAGAAAACGAGGAGAGGAGAGATTGAAATTCAAGCAGGTCCTCAGGTCGTTTATATTTACGCCATTTCCTTTCCGACGCTCGCATGGTGGCTCTCATGGCACGGACCGGTTGAGACAGCCACGGAGCCGGAGGGGATTTGCCAGTCCGTCGTGTCGTAAGAGGGCAGAGAGAGTCTAGAGAGGAGGAAAGAGTTGAGAGGAGAGTCTCTGCAGCAGCGTTCGGATGCAAGAGTGAGAAGGAGTCAGTTGAAGGGAGAGCTGATAGAACAGAGGATGCCAGCGAGGAGGGAGAGAGGGAGCGAATATTGCGACGAGCCGGTACAGAGTTAGTCAATGAGGGAGCTTTGTTAGTTATAGAGCGTGCAAGGGAGTAAGAGATGAAGAAGCGATCAGACACATGAAGTGGAGTTACAGAGAGGTTAGTGGTAGAGCAGTTTCTAGTAAAGATGTAGTCAAGGTGATTGCCGGCTTTGTGAGTAGGAGGAGAGGGACTAAGTGACAGAGCGAAGGAAGAAAGTAGGTGTAAGAGGTCAGATGACTTCTCTGTCTGGATGTTGAAGTCACCCAGGAGGATGAGCGGAGGTCCATTTTCAGGGAAATTAGACAGGAGAATGTTCAGTTCTTCCAAGAAATGACCTAAGGAGCCTGGCGGACGGTAGAGGACAATGATGGTTAATTGTACCGGGTGAGTGACTGTTACAGCATGGAATTCAAAGGACAATGGGGTGGATGGTGGTGGAGGGTAAAGAGAAAAGCTCCATTTGGGTGAAATGAGTAGACCTCACCACCCCTACCAGTGGGCCTGGGAGTGTGGCTGAAGGAGAAGGTGGAGGAGAGAGTGGCTGGGGTGGATGTGTTCTCAGGTGTGATCCAGGTCTTGGTGAGAGCGAGGAAGTCGAGTGACTGCTGGATAGCGAAGCCGAAGATGAAGTCAGCCTTGCGAGTCGCTGACTGGCAGTTCCAGAGACCTCCTGTGACGAGGTGCTGGACATGTGTGGAGCGGGTGGGATAGGAGAGAGAGGAGAGGTTACGCTAGAGAGCAGATCTAGCCCGAGGCCTGTAGTATCTGCGGGAAGAGATTCGAACAGGTATGGGTAAAGGGGTCAAACACATTATTAAAAATAGCAGAAGAAGGCGCCGCATTCAGCCGCCCCGAAGACTCCACGAAAGACTCCCTGGTCTTTGTCCTGCTCGTCTTGACTCCACGAAAGACTCCCTGGTCTTTGTCCTGCTCGTCTTGACTCCACGAAAGACTCCCTGGTCTTTGTCCTGCTCGTCTTGACTCCACGAAAGACTCCCTGGTCTTTGTCCTGCTCGTCTTGACTCCACGAAAGACTCCCTGGTCTTTGTCCTGCTCGTCTTGACTCCACGAAAGACTCCCTGGTCTTTGTCCTGCTCGTCTTCGTGCTGCGAGGATAAGCAAACGCTAAAGCTAACGCTTCCCACGATTTCTAGCTAAATACTCCGTCGTTAGTGGAAGTCGGCTGCGGCTGCGCTGGCCGCTCCCCCGTCGTTTAGGAGACAAAAGGTTGATTGGCCTCGCCAGAAACTCCTCAAAATGCAAAACACCAATAGCTTGACACCCTAATCAGTGAACAATCACCATGTGGTGTTTTGACAAAATGAGAGTTTAAGGATTCAAGTCTTATTTGCTTCAGAAGACAAGGCAAAACAGACTTATATCAGGTCAAAACCTAGCAGAGTTAGGAGGGCACACTGGCAGTTAACTTAATAGTAGAATCTAGAACACAAACTGGCACTAAAAGACTGAAAGAGCTTGAGCAAACTAACAACCAAGATAACTTCAAACAAAGAGAACTGGCAGTGAAACGACAAGAACTAAAGCCAATCAGCAATCAAATTAACTTAAGACACTAGAATCAACAGCAAATTTAGCAGACTAGCTTGGTTTAAAGAAAGAGATACTTAGTCCGATTTCAGGTCGCCTGGATGTCTGGTGGCCTTGTAGAAGAGATGCACACCCTACTTGAGGGTCAATGACTGTGGCAGACATAATTCATTAAGCAAGTCCTTGGATTCTCTCACAAGAGCCTGAGCTTGTGGCTGTATTTTTTTGCAAGGCCCTGTGATTTGAGAGAGAAAAAGAAAAGAAGTAGAAAAAAAGCCAGTTCACACAGCTCAGTAACTGTTAGCTTATGTCGGCTAGCTGCGCCGCTCAGCACATGTTGGGGGTAGGGTGTATGAATGGTGGTGGGTGCTAGCGGTTGTAGGTGGGCTCAGCTCTGTGTGTTATTTTCCGCTGTGTTGCACCCGTAACTTCCACACTCATGTTAGAGACACAAACAAGCCAGACATTTTAAAAATTCCGATTATGAACTTTTTTGAATCGAGAGAAATTGAAAAATGTATTTTCCCACCCCTAATTTATAGTTTGCAACAGTTGAGACAGAATCATCCATCTTGGTCACTATAGTCCGTGATAAAGCCCACAAAACATCACTTACCTGGACGATGTGAAAGTAGATCATCCAAGACCATCCGAAAAGAGCAACCGTTGCTGTATTTAATTTGCTGGCTAAGAGTCATTGGTGTTGTCTGTGAAAGTCCTCAGAAAAAGCAAACTTGTGACATGGGTCATGAGTCAGAATCGGAGACACAGTGCCACGAGTTCATGTGCGTCATAGCTTAACAGCCCGCAGGGATGCCTTGAAGACAAATATTTCGAAAGACAAAATGTGGAAAGAAATACAATTAAAGAGACCTTTGGAAGGATACTTCATGGGCTCTTCGCCTACAAAGAGAAAAAACAAGAAAACCGCCTTTTTTTCCTTCTTTTTTCAGTTGCTGTACATTGGCACACAATTTCTGTAGATAGACAGACAATGCTGTTATTACATCCAATTTGCATTTAGATGATAACAAGAGAACAGAGTTTAAATGGGCCGTTGTTCCAACAACTTCTGTGTCTCAGACAGATGTAATTACGAGCAAAGCACCTCATTGCCTCTGACTGATTACAGTGTTATTTCTTCATTTTATCTGAGAGGAGTTGCTCATTAGCCCCAAAAGCACATGGCTGATTCAACTAAATGCTCACCAGTGCGTAAGAATTGTCTATATGTGTTGCAGATGGCTGTGGGTGAGTGAAACCCCCTCCCACGCCAACGCCACACACCTCTAGATCAGTGCGGAACGTTAACTGCTTATCGGGGACAGCACTGATTTATGGAGGCAAAGATCAGTCTGGACGGATTAACCTGTAACTGGTGCGTGTGCCTCAACCAAATGTTGCCATTGGGCGTTGACTTTGGGTGTTTAGCCCAATGTTAGGTAAGAACGTCTGACAGAGACCATGATGTTTTTTGTAATCTTTTTGTTTACCGAAACATCCCCATTTATTTCACAATGTTAGGGATGCGGCATTGTCTACTCTGTGGCTCAGTGTGGGAATATACATTTGCACACTGGAATTGCTTTGCACAGTGTGTTTGGAACAGAACTATCAGTGCACACACTGCTGCACTATAACCACTCTGCAGACAAGACAGCTTCGTGAGGTTACCTCTGCGTTTTTGCTGCTTTCTATGAAGTGTTTTATTGGAAACCATTGCCTGTAAAATGTTGCATCGTCATTTTTTTACTTTGATGTCGCTTTGCAGCACTTGATTGTGTTCATTCAATGACACAACACGGTGGTTGTTGCAAAGGCTGTAATGCTGGTTATGAATGTAATGCTGGGGTCTATGGTGGTGTATGGAGTAGAGAGGGTGCGCTGGGACCTGCAAGGTTGAAGGTTCAAGCCCCGGCTGCTCCATGTCCCTGAGCAAGACAACTTACCTCTAATTGCTCCCTGGGCAAAAAGGGGTTAAAAATGCAATGTAAGTCGCTTTGGATAAAAGCGTCAGCTAAATGACCTGTAATGAGCAACAATGTTAAAAAACAAAAGGGGAAAGAACTATGACCCTGACTAAGGGGATGGAAATGTTCTTCACATCTTTCCGTGGACAAGATATGACGTTCTGCAAAATCCATTTCTCATCTGTCTTTAAGCTTGATAAGCTATCACAGCCTCCATTACCTGGTTTATGTTTTAGGGCGCATGTTCTTTAGTTGCTGTACACTGTGATAGAATGTATCAGCCAATTCAAACTATGTGCATCTTGCGAGCCTTTCATCCATTATCCGTTAAACAAATGTTTTATTTTGCTGATAAATATTTTTTTTACTGATGAAAGTGCCACACATGGGTGAGTAATTTGATGGTGTAAGACGAGCCAAAGGCACAGATGGCTTGCACAAATTTTATGCATAATACCCGGATCGCTACGTGTAGTACATACAATGCTGACAGCTCCACTGCTATATTTAGATTCATGAACAAATTTGTTCTTCTCATTGTGGTGCGAGATGGCTTCTTGCCCACCACCTACTGTGTGGTGAATATTGACAAGACTGAATCCAGGGGTTAGAAGAGCGCAATTTTGAAAACAGTGTCAAAGTGAGTAAGTAGGACCGACCGAGAGAGGGAGACTTTATTTACATGTGTTCATATCTTTTACAATTTAAGCAATATCATCGGTGATAGTGTGCTTTTTTTTTTACACAAAGAAATATTCACCTGATCAAAACTGCAAATGTCAACTGCCCTAATACTGCATAGCAAGATTACTCCCTCTTCACCTACGACTGCACACCTGTACACGTTCTAATACCATTGTCAAGTTTGCAGACGACACAACGGTGATTGGCCGGAGGTTGAGCGTGCCGCCAGCTTCAAGTTCCTGGGTGTCCACATCTCTGAGGACCTCTCTTGGACCCTCAACACCTCATCCCTGGTAAAGAAAGCACACCAGCGTCTCTTCTTCCTGAGGAGACTGAAGAAGGCCCATCTGTCTCCTCAGATTCTAGAGAATTTCTACCGCTGTACCATAGAGAGCATCCTTACAAACTGCATCTCAGTATGGTATAGCAGCTGCTCTGTCGCGGACCGTAAATCACTGCAGAGGGTGGTGAAAACGCCCAACGCATCACCGGTTCCTCCCTCCCCACCATTGAGGCGTCCAGAGCAAGAGATGTCTGCGGAGGGCACGCAAAATTGAAAAGGACAGCTCTCACCCCAGCCACAGACTGTTTGCCCTCCTCCCCTCTGGGAGGCGCTACAGGGTGCTCCGTTCCCAGACCAGCAGGTTCAGGAACAGCTTTATCCCTGCGGCTGTCACTCTATTGAACTCTGCCCCCCCTGAACTCTTAACTCTACCCCCCGCCCCCACACACAGCTCCCTCAGTGACTGTACTCCCCCCTCCACCCTGGCTTGACTGCCACACACCCTCCTCCAGCCACTGAACATTTGCACTGTTATTACATATCCATTTCTTACTGTTCATATTGCACAACTATTTCTTACTGTACATATCTATTTATTCACTTATTACACTTTACATATGCACATACTCTGTACTTTTTGCTACTTTGCAGTTCTGGTTGGATGTTAAACTGCATTTCGTTGCCTTAGTACTTGTACCCTGTGCAATGACAATAAAGTTGAATCTGATCTAATCTAATCTAAAGTTCAACAGCCCAATCCAAAGCCTCAAATACGCACAGGGTCACTAAGACAGACACATAGGGTCGCTGAGAGAGACGCATGGGGTCACTGAGAGACAGATGCACATGCACGGTCACTAAGAGACAGAGACGCTCGAGCTGCGAGAACTGATGTGATTTGCAGGACACATTGGTCATTGACACTTTTAACGTATCTTGCGGCCCCGGGTGTCCTGAACCAAGTATCTTCCTTCCTTATCTTCCTTCCTTTTTTCCTTTGCACCTCGTTCGTGTCATTCACACACACACACACGCACACACACACGCGCACACACACACACACACACACACGCACACACACACACACACACACACCATTACAAGCACTCATTAATTCCCAACTGTTACTCATTGTCATCTCATCATCCTCTCTTCCCTCACCTGTTCCTACTTTCTCTAATTAGACGCTCTATTTCTAGTCTGCCTCTTCCCATTGTTCTCCGCCCAAGTATTACCTATGCACTAGACGTACCTGAGCTTGCTGTCCCGTATCGCCTGCCTTGTCGGGTCCTCACAGCTGCCTGCTGTCTGATGCACTCTCCATCGGCCTGGACCTCGTTCTCTGCGCTCACCGGGATTCCCTGTTGCCGGCCAAGTGACCGCATTCTTCAGTTAAACATTAAGAGACTTTTTGTTTGTGAAATCGCCTTGTGGCCACCTGAGTTCTATTTTTGCCTTGGCCTTCCTGAGCTCATTAAAAGAGACTTTACCTTTCTTTGCGTTTGGGTCCTCTCTCCTTCACGACCATAACACTGGGTCCCTCCCTGGGCCACGCCTGTCTGAGGGTTGCTTTTCAATCAAGCGCTCAAAGAATACAGCCCAACGTGGGTGGTAAACTCCATCTAAGGCTGAATACTGGCGCAAGATCGATAGTCAAGTACCTTAAGGTAAGTTGAAAAGAACTAATTTTTATTCTTTAATATTGACAAATGAAGAAACAATTGGGCTCCAGCAGAAGGGGCACTTTTCTTATCTAGGGCAAAAGGGCAGGTGCTTGAGCACCACCAGGGGTCTATCTGTGCACATGCTCCCATGCAGCTACCACAGCAGGCTTCTTAAAGGGGAGATATAGCGCACCTACAGACAATTCTGAGAGACGCGCCTGCCGACAATTAAGGCTAGAAAGCCACTCGTTAAAATAAGGCAGGCAAGCAATAAAACCTCATCCACCAATCCACAGCTAACCCAATCATTAAAACATGGAAACATGACGGAATTCAAAGCATGCCGATACAACTATCAAATATTGCAGTATAATTAAAACAAGGTTGTGACACCTAGCCGGTGTTTCTTTTTTAATAGTTTCAAAATCAGAGCAGCACACTGGTATTACAGAGTGTATTTTATTAATAGTACGATTTATGAGCCGGGTTAGGAGTTTGTTTTTAGTATTCTACAAATGCCAGCAGTCCTCTTAGCCTGCAGAGACGTCCGGTCCATTAGCGACTCAGCCAAATGTACGTAGGTCCATTCATACCAAAAACACAGCAAAACCCCGCATGAATGACATTAAAGTTGACAGAAAGCTTTGATCTCTCGTCCATATCTCCCACTCTCCTCTCCTCCTTTTTCTGTTATTTTTTTTGTAAAGCCCCGTCCCCATCTGCCCTCTCCCCCAGGTGACAGCGAATGACAATCAGAGTCAAAAATCACTCCAATCTTTGATCACCTTTATTGAAAGTGCAGTTCATATTCGCAGAATCAAGTTTCAGGTGACTAGCACCTCCTTATCAAAAGTTATTTCAAAGGCCCGTGAAACTGGTTATCATCCCTAATCCTGTCCCGGGCTCTAAGTTATTTTACATGGGAGCTGCTATATCAAAGGAAGGTCCTACACTATACATGCAGGTCCTAAGCCCTTGTAGGGATACAGACACAATTATTACTTTCATGACCACTTATTTATTGACCACAACATAATTATGTATGGAATGTACATCACAAATAGGTCTAGGTTACACTTCAATATCAAGGGATTTGACATCCTATTTGCTATATTAAACTACTCTGGAGGAATGTGGAGACCTATATCAACATACATTGGTCATTGCATTTGTTAATAGCTCACCTGTTCACTTAAAGTTTTGTGATTGGCTGTTTTATTGTAAGACCATTTTAATAAGACATGTGACAAACATCTAAGCATGAATATTTGCAATTGTGGGAAGATTATTTTTTGGGGAATAAATTGCCATGATATTTGGAATTATCCATGTTGGAGGTGCACTGCTTTGTCAATACTCGATGATAAATGTCTCATTAGTTTGTGAAGGAAAAAAAAAAGCAACACTTGTAAGTAAATTAACTCCTCACATATACTAAAAAATAAATTCACCACATACGGTTAACGGTGAAATAGAAACAGTCATTGATAAAAGGTATACAGTAATGACACGCCTGAAAATAAAAAAATTCATGTAACACCAAAGAACATTTAAATAGAACTACAGATTCTTGAATAGCAGAACAACATACGTACAACACACTTGGTGCAAAGAAGGTTCAGTATCTTTTTTCGCTTTCTGAAACAATATATTTTTGTTTGCATTAATATGTAGGGATTGCAGCATTCCCACAGCATTATACTTTTTTCTTTCCAGAAAATCAAAAATTACAACTCAATTGCAGAGAAAGGCTGACCGTACTATCACATCATGCTTTGTAATTTTGGGAATAGTTTTACTTCCTATGAACTTCAACTTTCTGAAGTTTCTTTATGTTGCAGAGTTTATAAGCATCATGTTTACCAGCAGATGGCTGTGCCAGGTTAGAAGGTGTTTTAAGGATTGGCTAAATGCCAATTTGATAGCTTGGACACAGATGTGTCAAACTTCTGCGTTCTTCTTATAAGCCGAATAGACTTTTTACTCCAAATGCTGTGTGAAGTTTTCCGGGAAAAGTCCTCTGTGAGCCCCAGCACCAATCGTTAACCACTCACTTTCTCTGATTCCTGTGAGCCAGCCGGCATCCTGAAACAACAGCAACAAAATGAATGTCAGCCCTACCTACTGTGGAAATTTTGTTCATTTCTTTCTCTCCGGATTGTAGTCTCCTTTTAACTACCGGACCAAAAGGTCTTCCAACCGTTTCTTACCTGATCCTCTGCTGAGGCAGTGGGAACCACCAACACCACATCACCTCTTTTCAGTTCCAGCTCATCTGAATTTGCTGCCTCAAAGTCATGCATTGTCTCCACCTGCAAATAGAAAAACATCCCCCCCCGCCCTCTGCTGACCACAGGAAGACCATGTACACCAGGGGTATCAAACTCATTTTAGGTTTGGGTAAGCGTGGACGGCCGCCAGGGAGGACACATTCATTTTCAAGCGGGCGCTGCTGCCTGGAGTAACGCCGTGGTCGAAAAGGTCTTAACGCAGGGGTCCCCATACTTTTTCGGCTCGCGAGCTACTTTTCACTAAACTTTTCAATCCAACTCATGGCGTTCGCCCGAATAATAATTACGAGCAGTAGCAGTAACCAAACGGAACAGAAGCGCTGCATACCGGGAGGACAAAACGTATCAATATTTACGGTTGTATACATGTAGCCCTATGGGAAAAGTGGGGTCCTGAAATGGTGTTTGGTGGTTGTTTATCCTCATGTGACGTAATTAATGTATCCTGTTTGTTGAAAAAATTGTATTGGTGGAGAGGTACCATAGCCCAATGAAACGGGGGGGGAGTGACGTTGAGAGAGGTCCGCGGGACGAGAAAAGGCGCTGGACGTGAGGAGCGGAAAAAAGAGAGAGTTTGGGAAAGAGTGAGAAAGGACTGATTTGGCGGAGCGGAAAAAAGAGGGGATAGAGAGAGAGTGGGCGAGTAGCCAACCCGGCGACGGAGTCCACGATCGGTCCCCGGACTCGGATAACTCAGCCCAGCGGTGGACTGTGGGGACGACACCCCGGGTTCCGCCTCGCAAACCCCGCCAGCGAAGTAGCCAACCCGGCCGCTCAGTGCGTATCTTCGAGAATCCCGCCAGTGAGTTGCCCACCTGGCGACTCGTCCGTATCGGTTCCCGGACTTCGATAACACAACCCCGCGAGAAAAGACGCGGGACGACGGCCCCACGCCGACCTCGGCAACACCGTGAGGACGAAGAGTGGGGTGTGTTTTTTTGTTGACGCTTTAGCGCGAGGCCACCGTTTTTTTGTCTCCAAGGACCCATTCGCCCATCCACCTGCAAACAGCGGACACATATTTGGGTACCCACACTCGTTATATATATAGTAGTTATTAACCTGCCGGCTTATTGTGTGTGTTGTATTGTGTGTACTTGTTCATCGTTCTTCCTATTTACATTATATATTAAGTAAATGTTTTATTACTGTATTTGGTGTCGGGCTGTTTGATGTGTGTGGAAAAGTGTTTAAATATATGGTTAGCAGAGGGTGGTCACCTAGCATGCATTACAGTTAGGAATTCGGGCAGCGCACTTCACTCAAATAGCCAGGACGGCTAGGGGGCGCTACATACACACAACAAGCCTCTCGTCTGTCAGAATCGATCGCGCATGCGTGTTACCCTGATGTGTTGTTGTTTTTTTCCCAATGGAAGGGATCTACCGGCACTGCGTTGGTAAACGACCGGGTCCCTCTGGTCTAACACATGCGCTCACTCACAGAAAGCGACCTCCAGTGGACTTTTTAGGAATAGCATTTACTTTTATAGAAATGCAATTTATGTCTTTCTGTAATTCTCCCAATAGCAAAGTCCTCTGGCAGGCGGCAGTGGACCCCCCGGCGGGCCCAGTTCGGCCAGCGAGTTTGACACCTGTGATGTACATTATATATATTAAAATAGTTTGTGTGCATTTTTCTGCATTGTCTATCTGGGGGATGCCCCACCTTGTAGAGGAAATCATCGGGGAGTCCTGACACTCCACCAGATGGACTCATGTGTTTGATGGTCTGGTTTTCCAGTGTTACACCATTGTCACTGATGGCTGTGGGAGAGATGATGTCAGCATCCCGGTCATCATCTCCTTCGTTACTGGAGGCAGGCTCGATTACCACGGACGGTATTGGCATTTTTTCCTGAAAAAGACAACAATAACATTCCAATTTTATATATATTATTTTTTATAATAATAATAAAAGAATAAAGCAAATGTGCTATACCTAAACTACATATAAATTAATGTTAGCTATTGTGTGAGGGTTAATACTTTCTGACACTTGATTATTACTCACCCATTCACATTTCAAACAAAATTACAATTAACTTGAATGCTTTTGATGTTTGCTTCGATAACTAGTCATAATAAAGGATAATTATAGTTACCGATGGAATTCCCTCAACACGAAATGTTTTAGCATTGCTGCCAGGAGCAATCTGTTAGCAAATAGAAATCATTTAATCAAAACAGGAACACTAACATATGGAGTTTGAGCTGCGGATTAGTTTAAATCTGCATGTTCACACATATTCACATGCATGTTTATTACTCAGTTTAAGCTGCGTATTTTGGGCAAACAATGTATTTCAATCAGGCAAAAACCGGCAATATAAAAAGAGTTCCCATAATTCCCAAGGTTGGACATGGTTAGGGTTCAAATAGAATAGAATGATAATAATGATGATGATGATAATGGCGAGTTTGTATTTAGCTTTTGCATTTCGACTCACATCAGGCTCGCTTTTGTTGCTAGAACTTCCTGGAGTATCCTCCTCACCAACAGAGGGCCCACCAAGTTCCTCTACCTTCGCTCCTACTGGAAGCGCCTCACCAAAAGAGCCTAGAGATGAAGACTTTTCACCAGCAGGGGGAGATGGAGGACCTTCACCAGCAGGGGGAGATGGAGGACCTTCACCAGCAGGGGGAGATGGAGGACCTTCACCAGCAGGGGGAGATGGAGGACCTTCACCAGGAGGGGGAGATGGAGGGCTTTCACCAGCAGGGGGAGATGGAGGACCCTCACCAGCAGGGGGAGATGGAGGACCCTCACCAGCAGGGGGAGATGGATGACCCTCACCAGCGAGGGGAGATGAAGACTTGTCTTGTTCATCAGCAGCTTCTCGAACTAAAGCTTCTGGAGGACCATTTGAGTCTGCAGGACCTTCATTCTTTTAGAAAGAAATATTTAGGTCAACCCTAAAATTGTTGATGCAGTTATTTCACAACAAACTTACTGTAAGGTTTGGAATTAAAAATGTGTAAATGGACCATTCGTGAACACTTATCCAGACCTCATTTCAACTTCCATAAAAGTTGAAAGTAACATGCACAAATCCTTTGATTTGCAAATCCACAAATGTAAGCAAACGTCATTAAAAACAAATCTTGAGCAGCATTCCAACAATAGAAGATACTTTCAGTTTATTAGTATAAAAGATTATCCTTTTATAGCTTAATTTGAACAGCTTCCCTTTGGAAACAAATTAAAAGTATACAGAAGTGTTTGTTATTTTTATAATAAAAAAGAGAATCGTCCCTCTGACAAGATTCTGAATCTGAAAATTGATCCACAGTACTGATCATGCTTTTCCAAAGAACTATGGCTTAAACAATTAAAATACTAACCGCTGAACATAAAAAGAAATTACTTAAACTCACCATCTCATCAAAATCAGCAAAGAATGATTGGCCAGTGGTGTCCTTCGGGGAGAATGTGTCAAAAGAAGGGAAAAGACAAGAGTCAAAATTAAGTCACAATCTGGAAAAACATGATTATTTTCCATTCAGAGGAGGTAAGAAAACAGAATATGAAGATACAGGACATACAGGCTGAGATGTAAGCATGCAGTTTGGTTCAACGTCTACTTTAAAGCCATGACCATGAGTAGTACCCTAAAAGCAAAACTTACAATAAAGTAATATCAGGAGGCCCATTGAATTAAAATACCTCTGAACAATCTGCAACTAAAAAATGTGACAAAAGCTGTAATCACAACAGCTGAATGCAAACTAGTAATTTAAATGTTTTGATGAATGTTGAAAAAACAATAAAATCATTTCATAGTCAGCACGGCTCTTAAGATTGCAGAATGTCTCCACCCGCATGCAATGATAACTGTGTACATCATGTCAGCTGATAGAAGATGTCTGCCTGCTCCGAAGATGAAGATCTTATGGAGTAGCCTTGATGCATGACTTGTATGTGTGCCAATTGTGTGCCCTGTTTGCAAACATTATTTATTAAATGTTCTGTTTAATGATTTTTACACCGGTGTCGAGTAGGACATTTTCCAACAATGGACAATAAGCTCAAATTCAAGTTTAGTTTGAAAGATTACCTGTGAAAATCCATTAAATGTACTGATCACCTAAATTGAATTGCAAAGACACAAATTATTATTTGAAGGCTCCAGATTAAACAAGCCCAATATGAGATAAGGATATAGTAAGGATGGACTCGATGTGCAAATAAAAGTATGAACAAGCAAACAAAGCAGGCAATTGGAGAAGTGGGAGGAGCTCAAGCTGGGATCCAGGTTTCAGGACAAATATCACTTTGGTTCTCGTACTGTGGGAAGGTAGAAGACGGAAAATGGGTTTCATTTTTTCTATTCTAACCTATACTAATCTACCACAGAGAAGACGTGAGGAAGTCAAGTACCTCTTCCTTTTCTGTATCTAGCTCTTGGTACAATTTCCCAAATCTCCGGTTTGCAGTCTCATCTTCGGACATGTCTGAATTTTCTGGTTCTTTGGGAATTCTGGTAACGATTACATCTTTAATTCCCACGGCTGTTCCAGAGACAGCAGCAGAAGCAAAGTTTTGTTGAGAGTCGAAGCCACTGTTGTGACTAGCCTCCTGCCAGGACATGGCGTTGGAGGCAGGACACTTCATTCCTGAAGAAGCTGCTGGGAAAGTGTTGGCAAAAGGATCTGTATCCCACCCACTTCTTCCAACCCAGGAGGGCACAACCCCACTTTCTCCTGTGGTCTCAGCAAAAGGATCAAATTCAAAACCCACCCCCTTGTCTCCAAACTGTGTCTGAGCAAAAGGATCTGAATCAAACCCACGTCCTCCCCTTGTTTCAACAAAATTATCTAAATCAAACACCCCTCCCCCTTGTGTTTCAGCAAAAGGATCTGAATGAAATGAATCCATCCCCTGTGTTCCAGCTAAAGGATCTGAATCAAAGAAACCTCCTCCCTGTGTTTCAGCAAAAGGATCTAATTCAAACTCACCTCTTTCTTGTGATTCAAGTGAGTGAACTGAATCAATTGCACCTCCTCCCAGTCTTTCAGCAAAACAATCTGAATCAAATGCATTTCCTCCCTGTGTTTCTGCAAACACCTCTAAATCAAATGCACCTCCTCCCTGTGTTTCACCAAAATAATCTAAATCAAACGCACTTCTTCCCTGTTTTTCACCGAAAGGATCTGAATCAAAAGCACCTCCTCCTTGTAATTCAAGTGAAGGATCTAAATCGAACACACCTCCTCCCTGTGTTTCAGCAAAAGGATCTGAATCAAACGCTCCTCCTCCCTGTGTTTCAGCAAAAGGATCTGAATCAAACGCACCTCCTCCTTGTGTTTCAAGTGAAGGATCTAAATCAAACACACCTCCTCCCTGTGTTTCAGCAAAAGGATCTGAATCAAACGCACCTCCTCCCTGTGTTTCAGCTAAAGGATCTGTGTAAACTGATTTGAAGTCAGTTATTTCTCCTGGCAGCTCTTCTTCTGAACAGTTTAATTTTGTTCCATTACTCCCTGGGGAACCTTGTTTCACTGTTTGAGACCAATCTATGCCATCATAATATCCCTCTGAGACATTCAATGGGGGGGAATCTACATATGAAAGTTCATCATCCGCACTCGGCCAATCTCCCCCTTGACCTCCATCTCCCCACTCCTCAGCAGTCTCATACTCAGATCCAGACCAATCTGGAGACCTGGACCACTTGTCCTCTCTGTCCTCTGTACAGTCCTCAATCTGTTTACCATACTCATTGGTAACTATTAGACCTGGGGTGGACTTCCTGCGATCTTCCCGCCCTGCATCTCCCACCGAGTCTGACTGTCTTGTCTCAACTTCATCAACTCCAACTGAAGAGGGATGAAGGTTGGTGTTAGTTTGAGAGTTCCAGCTGCTAACCTCTTCCGCTGCTGTGGCTACCTCTCTGTCCTGGGAAGGGGTAGCTTTGTCTGCACCTGGCTGCCAGACGTCTGTTTGGGGCAAGTCCTGGGCCCCCCCTTGAACCCTCCCCTGTGCCCCCTCCAGCCCTACAGCAGGGGCCTCCACTCCTGGAGAAGTATCTTCATTTGCCGGCAAAGAACCGAAGTCGGCAGACCAGTCGGCGACAAAGTTGGTGTCTGCAGCCTGCTTGGGAAAGGCAGGCAGTGTTAAATTTTGACCCCCTCCCTGCTCTGAACCTATACTTCTAATTCAAACTGGAAAACCAGTGCATGCAAATACACAGTGTGTGTATTAAAGACCAAAATGAGGATCATGTGAAGATCCAGAGACAGGTTGCACATAAAATACAACTATGAATATGCATCTCTCAGTTTTCTGCTGAACAAATCTCAGTGAATTCCTCACTGCATTCAGTACGATCCCTTCTACTCTGGCTAAATTCGGTCTATCGTAAAATAATGTGTGTACTTACCGGTTCAGTTGTTTGCGCATTTGCCTGAAAAAAAATCAGAAAGGGGTAGAAGATGGTTCAGACACACAAATACCGTGTGTCCTGTATTCTAATGTATTTACCTATGCACTTGGTTTTAGTGTTGAATTGTCCTATAATTAATAATTTCATTTTTTTCATTCATACCGTATCTTCAAATATATATCTAACTTTGAATATGATCACTGTGCAGTGTATAATCCTACTTTTTAATAACTATAATTAAGGCAGAAGACTTACCGCCCACATATCCCAAGGCACAGCCGTCTGAAAGAAGAAGGTTGTTCATGTAACTCATAAAATAAACCACATTTTAAACAGATAACAGATTAATATCAACTGGGATGGATGGGAATGATAAACTGGACATTTGACGGACTATATTCTTGACTGACCCATGTAGTGTTCTACAGTTTTAAAATAAAACCCAACAGATTCCATAATCATAGGATCAGTGACCGCTCTAACTGAGGCAGCGTCAAATGACATATGCTGGGATCCGGTGTATCATGTAAATCGGCAAGTTTTAATGGTGATTTATTTCCGTCTCTTAGTCACCAGACCACTTTGTTGGTGCAACTTGGGGTTCTGGCATTGCTTTTTCCAATCAAAAAGTTTTCTTACACTGTGGTTCAAGCTGTTGCCAGGGAAATGTGAATGTTTTTTATCTTGCGGGCAGTTAAAAACAACCTGTGGTATTGGAGAAACACTTTCATCTGGCTGGAAAGCATCGAAGTCCATGTCAAGAAGAGATTCTCCTGGTCTTTCATTAGGCTGCGATCAAGAATAACGACAACACCACAAAGGAGATAAACATGTGTATAAATACACACAAAGCACATATTAAGTGCATGCATTTGTTCTTAAGAATGTTATTGACGGTAGAAGAATCCACAGACCTGTGATAGGGAAGGTGCTGGTAAAAAATCCCCTCCAAATAGGTTGATGATCTGCTCTTCTGCCACCTCCTTGGTAGGTGTGGCTTTTGGTGGTGGAGGTACCGGCGGCCCCTTCTTAAGCTGCCAAAAGAAGTATGTTGTTTAAATTATAAAGTCCTCTGAGACTAATGAACGATACGTGCTTTTTGCCTATAACTTATAGTAAAGTATCATACTGCTAACTCTCTTAAGTTTCTACAGTTTATCCGGAATGCTGCTGGAATGGTACCAAAAAAAAACATCTTAAGGAGCTTATAGGACCATATTACCCCATTAAAGAGCTGCACTCCATGAATGCTAATTTTTTTATTTCAGCCTAACACATGTTCTGTGAAATTTGGTTAGAACATGACACATTTTAGCACATATTCTTGCTCATCAGCTGGCTTCCTCAACATTCAGTTAAAAGGTTTTTTGCAGCCAAGCCACACCAATTTAACACCCCTTCATGTTTGGTGTTGGCATGACACATACGTCCACATATATACAACAACATCACAGATGTGAAACACAAACACACAAACACACACATTTGTCCAAATGACAAACCTGTAAACACTGTTGAAGGCTAACAGTCTGTCCCTCATGACCTTAACAATAAACTCTCGTGTATTGAACAGCTATACTGTGATTTATTCACTCTACACATACATTAAAACAAGCAAATGTCACATGTTCACTCACCAGTTAACAGACAAAAAGGGAGCAGCAAAGAAAAACAGTCACATAAAGTTACTGTAATGTTCCAACAGTTGACTAAACCAACAAACAGATCTGAGGAAAGTAATAATCTACTGGTAGAGAAGTTAAAACAGTAATTAAACAATCACTATTAAATAATAACAGTTTTAATATGAGTATGTATATATATATATCACTGTATATTTTTAAATCACTATACAATTATCTATACAATTGTCCATTCCACACTGAGCGTACAGCAACTACTTTCTTGACCAGTCCGCTGGAACTACTTTCTTGACCGGTCCGCGAAATATTGTCTGACATGAAAACAGTAAAATAAGGTTGGGGACCACTGATCTAAACAACTGCAATAGTAGGGTTTAAAATCTGGTGACAGCAATAGTGACAAGTAATGCATGTTAATGAAATAAAACACCTTCAGAAGACAACAGAATAACTGTTAAACACGTGTGTTTCGGATCAGAGCGGCAGCTCATTTAACACATGAGACTCCAAGATTAATCTTAGCCTGGCTGTTAGCCTGGTCTGAAGCAGGCAAGCTGCAAAGAATAAATAGACCAAGGTTACTTGGTTGGGTTTAATTCAACCTGCTTTCATGCAACCAAGTCAAAGCTAAATTCATCCCGAATAACGTGTATCCCAACTTAATCCCTTATCCTGGTTTCCTGCAATAGCCCTCTGGATCCAGTTAGGATTAGATCTCCATGCTATTATTATGGGATGAGATCTGGATACATTTAGGGTAACATCTAACCGGGATGGATATCTGGATCCAGTTAGAATTAGATCTCCCTCAGAGATCTTCCTCTGATGGAGATCTGGATCCGATTAGGGTTAGATCTAACTGTGATAGCGATCTCGATCAAGTAGAAGAAGCATATATCCATAATGTGAACCTGAATCCTATTAGGATTCAATCTAATTGTTAGTGAGATCTACATCGTTACGGTAACATCTACTCGTGCTGGAGATCTGGATCCACCTATTTAGTGAATCTGGAATCATTAAGCATGAGATTTACCTGTATAGGGGATTTGGGCCGCGGTGGTCCAGGTGAGACAGGACGGAGCATGTGATTAGCGATGGCATCTGGACTCTCAGGTGGACTCTCGTCTTCTGTTGGTGATGGGGTTCTGGCCAGTCTTAGTGGTCCTGAATCACTGAGGGACGAGACAGAATTCACAGTATCATATGGTTGCAAAATCTTCTTATGGCCAGTGTCAGATGTTACCGCTAGGCCCCTGTATCGCAGATATTCTGATGAAACAAGAAATTGACATGGTAAAAGTTGACTTATCTAACTGACCTAATATCATTCCATTTAAAGCACATAAGTCAAACTCGTGGCCCGCAGGCCAGATCCGGCACGCCGGGGTGTTCAGTGCTTAGAAACATGGCCAAAGTAAGGAAGGCTGAAACCCGACCAATCTGAAGACAGATTTTTCAAAGGTTGTATGGCCTGATGAGATGAGGGTGACTCTTGACGGACCAGATGGATGGGCCCGTGGCTGGATCAGTAACGGGCACAGAGCTACACTTCGAATCAGACGCCAGCACAGGTGGAGGTATGGTCTGGTTATATTAAAGATGAGCTAGTTGGACCTTTTCAATGTGAACATAAAATAAAATAAACTCCCAAATCTACTGCCAGTTTTTAGAAAACACTCTTCTTTAAGCAGTGGTACAGGAAAAGGTCTATATCTTTTATAAGATATAAGACCATGATTTCAATGCAAGACAATGCTCCACCGCACGCATCGAAATACTCCACTGCGTGGCTAGCCAGTAAAACCTTAAAAGGGGAAAAAATAATGACAAGGCCCCATTCCTCACCTGACCTAAACCCTATTGAGAACTTGTGGAGCCCTCTTAAAACAGGAGATATACAAAGAAGGGAAACAGTACACCTCTCTGAACAGTGTCTGGCAGGCTGTGGTTGCTGCTGTACAAAACGTTGATCGTCAACAGATCAAGAAAACTGACCGGCTCCATTAATGCCAGGCTTATTACAGTTATTAAAAAGAAGGGTGGTTATATTGGTCACTGATTTTTTATTTAAATGTAATAAATGTTTATTTGTACATTTTGAGTTGTTTTGTTTATTATTCTCACTTTAACCGAACAGAAATGAACAAGTGAGATGGGAAATCTTTTGTTTTTCATTTAGTTACATAAGAATGCCAAAACCTCTCTTTTACTTTCTTAAATATTCAGGTTTGGTGTTTATTGTTATTTTGGATCGACCGAGAGCACTGCAGTTGTTGAATTATACAAATAATCCTCAAAAATACAAAATAAGAATTGTGCCTAATAATTGTGCACACAGTGTATTGTTTTATAGACACTATAACTTCACATCATTTTGGAAGACATATCACATTAAAAGACACTGAGGTCATTGATAGAAACCAATATTACCAAGAATGTCTTAGGAACATTTTCAAAGCATTAGATCCATCAGAAAGATGATTCAATCACAAATAAAAATACACACTTTCTATGTAATAATCAAATTATTTCCTTTTTTTATCAAACTACTATAATGTTTTAAAATGAAACTGACCTTGGGGCTCCTTGGATGGTGAACATTTTGTCAGAGTGCTGCTCAGCCAGTTGTGTCATCACCTCATACAGCTGCCTGCATACCTGAAGGGTATCATTGAGAAGAAAGGTTTCCCTCTCCACATGTAACATATGCTCTCACAAAGTGCCCATAGCCCATTGGTCTGTCTCTCACACACACACACACACACACCTGAGAGATCTCGCGGTGAAATCTGGCCTCCAAATTGGTCACACTCTTATAGGTGCTGATGTAGAATCCAACGCGGCTACAAAAGAAGATAAAGAAAGTCTGTGACTCTTAGTAATTTGATGTTTCTCCTGACCAAATTTATTGGTTAAACTCATCTGCTTTTGCAATGATTCCTATTTGGATCCCCACATCTTACCACAGGTGAAGTGTAGGAAGAAGCAGTGCTAGTTTTGTATTTGGTTAGTCAGTTAGTTCATGATCATCTAATGTGAATCAAACACAAGCCAAGATTTGTGTTTCCAAGAGTGATTGCCACCAGTCAGCCCACTGGCCGATTTAGGGATGACTCCTGTGTAGTAAATGAAACGCCTTTTTGGTCAAATTACTTGACGGAATTAATGAATAAAACTATTTGCCTTCAGAGTATCTGCTGTGCATGAACCGCATGAAGGTGGAGTCAACAACTACATATAAAAGTACATAATAAAGCCTATTGTTTATGTCTAATTATCTGTTTACACAGAATGAATAGAAAAATATTATGAATATTAAATGTAGACTAGTGTTGATATTTACATGTGATATATTTATTATTATTAAAATAAGGATCACAGGATTGATTACAAGCCCGTCGTCCTGACCTCCATGGTCATGAAGTCCTTTTAGCGCCTTGTCCTGTCCTACCTTAAAACCTTTACCGATACACTACTGGACCCCCTGCAGTTTGCCTACAGAGCCAACAGGTCTGAACTTAGGCAAGGATCCTGTTTATGGGTTAGGGTTAAGGGTTCAGCTCTGCATTTAACACCATCATCCCGTATTTGCTGCAGGACAAACTTGTCCAACTGCACATGCCCGACTCCATCTGCAAATGTATCACAGACTTCCTTTCTGACAGGAAACAGCACTTGAAGCTGGGGAAACATGTCTCAGCCTCTCAAACCATCAGCACCGGTTCCCCCCAAGGCTGCGTTCTTTCCCCTCTGCTATTCTCCCTGTACACAAACAGCTGCATCTCCAGCCACCAGTCCATCAAGCTCCTGAAGTTTGCGGATGACACCACCCTCTTTGGACTGATCTCTGGTGGGGACGAGTCCGCCTACAGGTGGGAGTCTGACCATCTGGTATCCTGGTGCAGTCAGAACAACCTGGAGCTCAACGCTCTAAAGACAGTGAAGATGGTTGTGGATTTCCGGCGGAACAGAGCCCCACCATCCCCCATTACCCTGTGCAACTCCCCCGTCACTATTGTGGATTCCTTCCGTTTCCTGGGCTCCATCATCACCCAGGACCTCAAGTGGGAGCTGAACATCAGCTCTATCACCAAGAGGGCTCAGCAGAGGTGGTTCTTTCTGAGGCAGCTGAAGAAATTCAACCTGCTAAAGCCAATGATGGTCCACTTTTACACGGCCATCATGGAGTCCATCCTCTGCTCCTCCATCACCGTCTGGTACGCTGCAGCCAAAGCCAAGGACAAAGGCAGGCTGCAGCGTGTCCTCCGCTCTGCAGAGAGGCTGATCGGCTGCAATCTGCCGTCCCTGCAGGACTTGTTCGCTTCCAGGACCCTGAAGCAGCTAAAAAGATGGTAGCCGACCCCTCTCACCCCGGACAAAACCTATTTGTGCCCCTTCCATCTGGCAGGAGGCTAAGATCCATCAGGACTAAGACCTCCCGCCACACCAACAGTTTCTTCAGAGCCCGGTCCCCCACCGACTGACTCTGACATTCCACCGGTCACTTTCTTTCACACTGCACACGTCACAGCACTTCGATAGTGCACTTTATTTTAAAATATTTTTTAACTTTTTAAACTTTATTCTCTTATTTTATACTAACCCATAGCATTATTCTACTAACCCATAGCATTAGCATTTTATTTTATTTTATTTTATTACTTGTGCACTGCTGTCTTGTTGTTTATTGTCACACTGTCTGCTGTCACGCACCAACCGCCAAGTCAAATTCCTTGTATGTATGACATATTTAGGCAATAAATGATTCCTAATTCCTGACATGGAGAGCCAGGACTCGAACCGAGAATCCTCTTGGCTGGGGCCCAGTTACTTAGCATGAGTTAATCAAACTGCACCATCCAACATGGTGTAAGAGTTAAATTGGGTCATCTTGTTTACACATATTTAGCATTGGCTAATTAGATACAAATTCTGAACATTAGTCAGTGCTGTTCAAGTGAAGGGGAGAAGAAGAAAAGGGGGAACTTGACGGTGAGGTTGGAGGGATGCTGTGGGAACTGGACTAAAGTGTTAAAGTTAAGAGGAAAATCCCGAATGTGTTGGACGGAATTATTTCCTGATCATACGCTCACATTGCTTACAATGGTATAACAGGTGTGTGTGTGAGATGTTATTCACCTGTCCCAGAGAGTCGGTAGTTCATCCTGCAGGCCGACGTTCAACTCCTCAAACACTTTCTGCGCCTTTTTCAACTCTTCATCTGCCTTCAAACGATAACAAGTCTGTTTAATAAAATTAACTCCATATATAATGTGAAAAGTTGGTACAACATCTGGTCCCTGAAGTTATCATACAAGGACTCACCTTCATCATTTTACGGTCATTTTTCATGCCTGACACTTGCAGAGTTTCTACGTGATGACGAGCACTGTCGTAGTCAATCAATTTCCGACTTCTTTTGGCCACACGGGTCTGAGATGTCACACGTTTTCAGGTTTTAGATGTTCAATGACTTCCTACATTATCACTAGCATTGATTTTTTTAATCAAAAGACAAGGTGTTTGTTACTTTGAGGTCAGGAAACTGTAGCAGGTACTCGTCCAGGTTCAGCAACGTCGAGTCCACCAGCTTGTTATGAAAGTCTTCCCACATTGCGTCACAGTCCTGCGGGAATCACAAAATAACTTCTGGACACCCGTATGTTTAAACAAGACCCGGGCACTTATATGTTACAGTAAGCCCTGGACACCTGTCTTTTACAGTAAGACCCGGATGTTGTATGTTATATTAAGACCCGGAGAGCTGTATGTCAAAAGAAGAACTTGTCACCTCTATATTACAACAAGACCTGGACAGCTGTATGTTACAGTAAGACCTTGACACTTGTAGGTCAACAGGTCAACTGTGATTGTAGTCTGACCTTTCCAATGACCATGATGTCGTCTTTGCCATGCCAGTCTGGTTCATAGACTTCATGCAGAGACTGGGTCAAATTGATGGAGGCCTGCTGCATCCCTGCAGGGACAAAAAGACAGGTTATGTATTTAGGTTTTATATGTGATGTATGAAGTGATTAATGCGTTTTACTGGGACTGAGCAATAAATACTCTTTCTTTCCTTTAATGGCAGACATGTAGGCCTTCATTTCCCTCTGCAGCCGCGAACCTTCAGACTGACAGAACAGACACATTGCTGGTTAATAAGAGACACACATCAGTCAGTATTTTTAGTGAATTAAGATGGCTTCCAGCCTTTCTGAAAAACAGTTTTCTGGTGATTTGAGGAGATTAACTGCTGTCAAGTTCATGCTGTCTAAGATTTTAAAAACTGGACCAAAACAGTGAAGGACACTTCAAATACAGACTGCCGTCTACACAAAGTCAACTACAGACCTACGCCTTTCCAAAGAAGACTACAGATTAGCTTCAACACAGGGTAAACTACTAATTAACTACAAAACTACAGACCCATGTATGCTTAAAGTAAGCTTGTTTTAGGTTGTTTACAGTTCATGGCCAAATATTCAAATGATAAATTAAAATAAATCTGATGGAATTATAGTTCAGCAATTCATTTTCTCACAAACTATGATTTTTTTAATGTCGAGCTGTAAACACCTCTCACCTCCTGTCTCCTGAAGTTGACGACCACTTGTTCAAACTGCTCATCTTTGGTCTCATCTGCTTTTCCCAGTTTCTGGAGCACCTGACAAATTACAAAGTTATACAGATTAATGAATTCTGACATAAAATACTGCCACTTTTTCTAATTAATTCGAACATTAATCCCCTAACAGTTGATTGTGTATCCCAGATACCTCTAAACATCATTAACATACATGTGAGTACAATGCGATATATATAAACATCAGACAAACATGGCTGACTTGACTTGGTCTCGTGTATATAAAGACCTGGGAGCTATTGCACAAAATAAAGAAATCCAGGATAAGTGAAAAGGTGCAGCTTGACTTAGTGTGATCGGCTCACATGTGCTCACATATTTTATCTAAACAGCAGTTAAAAAGAAGGCTCATTTGTCTGGCAGTGGGGGGGGGCACCAGCACCATGCAGGCTTCACCCCAGCTGAGGAATTGGCTTTTAAACCAAGGCCTGTGATGGAAGGGATTCAGGATGGGACAGCTACTGTTCCACCTCTAGAAACTGCCCTCTTCATACATTGTCCAGTACTGCGCATCAAACACAATCAACCATTTATACGGAATATGTGGAAATCACATTCTTCTGAGGCCAGGGAAGGTAATAAAGATGTGTGTCAAAGACTTCAGCGCCAAACACACACTTATGAGAGTACAGCAAATAGTGCCTTTATTTACAGGTTCGGCATATATCAACAAAAGAGTGCAGTGCCGTACGCGTGTATGCACTCTTTTGCAAACAGTGGTGGTGTGTGATGGTGAGAGCATGGCTTTGAGCTGTGTAATAATAATAGATTCCATCTCCCATAAATCTATATCTGTCATCCAGGTACACATCGGGAAAAGCTAAAGAGCCTAATCTGTCCCGAAACACCCTCTCACGTCTAAAAGCACGTCTCAATATCAGTGCTTCTCCCCCCTGGGTCTGTCGGACTGCCTGCAACAACTAACCCCCCCCCCTGTCATTTCGCCGTTGTTTATTATCCGCCGGACCTTCTTGACCAGTCCGCGAAATATTGTCTGATATGAGAACGGTTCGTGAGGCCAAAAAGGTTGGGGACCACTGATCTGAACAACTGCAATAGTGACAATTAATGCATGTTAATAAAAATAAATCGGAAGACATTCAGACGTACATGTATATATATTGACATGCCCCTATGAACCTAGTTTGTTGGGGAAACACCAAGTCGAGTGCATCATAGCACAGAACAGCACTGGTGAAAATTACAAATGATCTTCTACTTGCATCGGATCAAGGACTCATCTCTTTTCTGGTCTTGCTGGACCTCAGTGCCTCATTTGACACCATTGATCATTGTATCCTGCTGCAGAGACTAGAATATTTGATTGGTATCAAAGTACGGTAACTGCACTCAGCTGGTTTAAATCCTATTTATCGGATCCATCCTAGTTTGTGCTTGTAAACGGTGAATCCCTGAAGACCACCAATGTTGGTCACGGGGTCCCACAAGGTTCTGTGCTTGGACCGATTTTATTTACCCTCTATAATGCTTCCTTTGGGCGATCAGGAAACACCGCATAAACATTGTTATGCAGACGATACTCAACTGTATCTGTCGATCAAACCAGAAGAGACCGACCAGCTTGTTAGACTTTAAGAATGTCTTGGAAACATCAAAACTTGGATGACCTGCAACTTCCTGATGCTAAACAGACGTTATCTTGATAGGCCCAGAGCTCCTTCGAAGTCCGCTGTCATGTGACACTTTTTATGGATGGAATTGCTCTGGTATCCAGCAGTACCCTCAAGAATCTTAGGATATGTCCTTCAACTCTCATATAAAGAAGACTTCAAGGACTGCCTTTTTTCATCTATGTAATGTATCGAAAATCAGGAACTAGGGCTGCAACAACGAATCGATGAAATAGATCAAATTTGATAATTAAAAGCGTTGGCAACGATATTTCATTAGCGATTCATTGTGTCGCGCGATTATTACGTCACTCAATGAGCTGCGGAGTTGCGCACGGAGCAAAACTAAAAATGCCGAGCCGAACCCAGCTGATTAAGCTAGCCTTAGCTCGCTAATAACAGCAGTAAAGCCGTTAGCAAGTCTAAGACATGTTTTTATTTGCTCTTTACTCTTACTTTTGGACCTGTTGTCTTGTATATATTTCGTGCTTTGTCCCACATCGGTTATTGTTGACAAATATATTTGTGTGTTGTACTTTTTAATGCTGTCATATAAGGTAGTCCAGTGCGCTTGTGCATATCCTGTGGGTTATACGGTAGTTGATGTTATGCTTGTAAAGGAAGACACACAGTGATCCATTAAATCAACTCAGAAGCCTCTAATGCATTTATTTACAAAAGCCATTTTAAATTCATCTCATAGCACGTGGTTGTTTTTTAGCTGTATGCATTTACTTGCACTACAATGATGGTAATCATTTAATGAATACGCTTCAAGTGAACATGGGGGTGTGTTTGTGAGTGTGAGAGTTTGTGAGTAGTATAGAGAACTAGTTCTGACTTTAAAACAAATCCTGTTAAATTTTCTGATTTTTATAAATTATTATGTTTAAGGAGCAACCTGTAGTTTCCGAAGTATTTTTGCAACGTGAATTTGAAGTTCTGTTTTAAAATAAAGGGTTGGAAATTAAAGCTTTTTAATCTGATTCATCAATTAATCGAAGAAATAATCGACCGATTAATCGATTATCAAAATAATTGTTAGTTGCAGCCCTATCAGGAACTTCCTGTATCAAAGTGATGCAGAAAATTTAGTTCATGCGTTTGTTACTTCTAGACTGGATTACTGTAATTCTTTGTTATCAGGCTGCTCTTGTAAATCTCTTAAGCCTCTCCAGCTGAATCAGAATGCTGCAGCACGTGTATTATCAAGAACTAAGAAAAGGGATCATATTACTCCTTTATTAACTTCTCTGCACTGGCCCCGTTAAATCAAGAATAGAATTTAAGGTACTTCTCCTCACCTACAAGGCACTTGCTGGTGATGCACAGTCCTACCTTAAAGAGCTTGTAACATCGTATTGCCCTACAAGGCAGCTGCGCTCCATAGATGCTGGTTACTGGTTGTTCCTATGGTTTTAAAAAGTAGGATGGGAGCCAGAGCCTTCAGTTATCAAGCTCCTCTTCTGTGGAACCAGCTTCCACTTTCAGTCCGGGGGGCAGATTCGGTCAGCTCTTTTAAGATAAAGCTTAAAACTTTCCTCTTTGATATTGTTAGGGATGGCTCAGGTTAGCCCGCACCAGCCCTTGGTTAAGCTGCTATAAGCCTAGACTGCCGGGGGACTTCTTAGGACACACAAGCTCCTCTCTCAGGCTCTTTTTCTACAATAATCCACGTTTTATTAATGCACATGACTAATTCAGCTTCTTTCCAGGAGATTTTTTGTGCTTTCTCCCCTAGCAGGGATTCGTAGATCATAGTTCCTTCTGGACCCTGGTCCTGACACCTGCCGTGGCCATGCTGACACCTGCTGCTGCCATCATCATTATTATTTCAGATATTAATCATATTACGGTCATCATAAAACAACATTACCCTCTCCTGAAGTCTTTGTGCTTTCCCTCCCCACAGGCTTCTGTGGATGGTGGTTCTACTTGATGGTGGTTCTATCTGATGGTAGTTGTCCATGCAGTGGTCATGCCGTGCGCCTGGCTTGCTACTCGCAATTATTTGAATCATTTCGGTTATAGAAATTGAATGTATTATACATCTTTCACATTGTTCATTCTGTACACATGATAGCCATTGTAGTCTGTCCACCCCGGGAGTGGGATCCCTCCTCTGACGTTCTCCCTAAGGTTTCTTCCCTTTTTTCCCCATGGGAAGGGTTTTTCATTTTTTGGAGTTTTTCCTGTGCCAATGTGTGGGTTTCGGGACAGAGAATGTTGCATGTGTGCAGACTGTAAAGCCCTCTGAGACAAATTTCACAAAGAGGAATTCCTCTGCACTGTTCGCCGCTGTATATTGCATCTGTTTGTTTTACTTCCAAGGAAAAAAATCTCTTACATCTTCAGCTACCGCCTCGGCCTCTTCTGTCTAACTGACTGCAGCTATCGGCGGTTTCGTTTCCGGGGTCAACTTTGTTTACTTCCGGCAAAGTAGCGCTAACTGCGAAATATTCTATCGCATTAATCTCTGACACATTAATTGCATAGATTAACACTATTTTGGATAAAATGTGTGTTTTCATCCACGTCCTGTATGCGTCGTAGCTGGGTACCGATGTTAACTTTAACATGGCAACATTATGCGCGTGGTGTGTGAATATACAGCCATAGCATGTAGCTAACTAGCTAGCTAAGCATCCCAGTGTAGAAGTCTCTACAGAAGCCTTGGCTTCCCTTTCACGCTGGTTCGTTGTCTGATCGGTGCCGACCTGTCCTCAGATGAAGGAACCTCGGATGCAGCGTTCAATTTGACACCAATGATAAATACACACACACACACACAATGCCGATGTGAGGGTTTTCGGGACAGAATGTCAATGTACAGACGTATAGCCCTCTGAGAAAAATTTGTAATTTTGGGCTATACAACATAAAATGAATTGAATTAATAATACGGTTGGTACTGTCCTATAAAAAGTATACATATTCATTACAAATAATACACAGTCGGTGCTGTCCCTTTAAAAGTAAACATATCCATTACAAATAATACAGTCTGTACTGTCCCTTTAAAGGTAAGGAGCATGACTACTTGATGTTGAAAAAGCTAGGTTTCTTTTAGCAGCTAACGTTAGTGCCAACGTCATTTCCAGTTTTTAGGTTTGTCACCCATCCCTTATAATACGGAATCGTCACGTATTTGACAATAAAATAGCGTGCGCCATTTTGAATCAATACAGGACAGGGTTTTTCTCGTATTTTCAGAATTGTCTTCAATGCAGCATCCCGTGCAAATAATTCCCCAATTCTGTGTAGACTCGTCCTATTCTGCCCCTGATTGGCAAATACTCGCTGCCATCGTTGGTTTGATTGGCCCGGAACCTAAAACAAACCGGTCAGTCAGAGGAGAGTGGGTCTCTTGACGGAGTGTCGATTTGAAAGAGTGACAGAGGCACCTCCAGATATCCCCCACGTCCAGCTCTGAAGCGAAAGCGGATGCACAGGTACCGACGACATTCACCGGGGGATTGCAGAGTTGCGCCACACCCCCGACAGCCTCACGAAATACTGCAGTGTCCTCCTTTTTAAGTTTTAATAAAACAATGTGAAAAAAACAAAACAGATAACCAAGTTCATCTCCAGTGTGTTCACCAAACTAAGTTAAATTTAAGGAATCAGAACGGGCTGCTCTCCAATTTACCAGGATTTTTTTCTCCATCCTGGAGATCTAAGGGAGCACCCACACTGCCCCTCTCCCAACCTGTCCAAACCGTCTGTCCCCCTTCCCATCTTGCACTGTCCATGTTTGTACAGTCTGTTTGTGCAGAGAACATCTGGAAAGCCGCTACATGTCGTGCTCTTCATAAAGTTGTTTGTTTATTTGGCGCTTCTGGATGTTCCATGTTTCACTGCTTCAATTGATCAAATGTCTGATCATGAATAATAAATATATACTCATACACAGATTCACACACACATATTAAAACTAGTTATATATGGTCATCTACATATACACATATGATACATAAGCTGATACAGTACATATTGTTTGGTGATGAGGCACTTATACATTTCCCAACACTTGCACAATCGTGTCTGTGATACTTTGCCGGGCTTGTAGCCGTCGCGGGGGGCGGTGTCCGTTTTTGCCATTTGATTCAATTCATGTTCTATAGCATCTCAAATTTGCCTTAGAGGGCTTTACAGTCACATGTGACATCCTCTGTCCTGAAACCCTGACGTGGCACATGAAAAAACGATGGGGAGAATAAAGGGAAGAAACCTTTAGAAAGAGACAGAGGAGGATCCCTCCGCCAGGATGGAGAAACTGTGATGGATGTGTACAGAATGAACAACGTAAAATACGTACGATACGTTCCATTCATACAACAGAAATGATTCGAATATACAGATTATGGTCTTGAACTCCTCATATGTGTTCATGATCATCTGCTTGTCAGCAGAGAAAAAATAGGATCTTCCTTTGAGTTTATTTGCTGCTATTAGTAACAAATGCTTGTTTCGGTGATTCGGTGATCGACCCTTCTGCCTTCTAACGTAGGACGCGCAAACGTGATTATCCGAATGACTAACATCTGGTTTAAATTAACGAGACTGGATCAGCCTTTGAGGAACCTTTGAAGATAACCTGATATTAATCGTTAATTTGAGCTGGCTAGTGGGACATTTGATTGACTTAGTTGAACCACGAACGAGGAATAGGGTTATGGTAAATATTCTTATTTTTATTGTTAAGAAACTACCTTGAGCAAATGCTAACACAGGATCCGAATCAGGATCAGGAATCAGGAAACATTTATTGCCATAATATGTCAGACATACAAGGAATTTGACAAGGAATTTGGCGGTTGGTGCGTGACAGTAGACAGTATGACAATGGACGACAAGACATCAGTGCACGAGTAATAAAATAAAATATAATGCTGGGTTAGTAGTATAAGGCTATGGGTTAGTTTAAAATAAAAGTTAAAGTTAAAAAATATTTAAAAATCAAAAAATAAAGTGCACTAGCGAACAGGAAGTGACAAAAGTGATGAGTGCAGTATGAAAGAAAACGACGGTGTGATGTCAGAGTCAGTCAGTGGGGGACCGGGCTCTGTTGATGAGCCCGACTGCCGACGGGAAGAAACTGTTTGAAGCTCTGAAGACAGTGGAGATGGTTGTGGACTTCAGGAGGAACAGAGCCCCACCCTCCCCCATCACCCTGTGTGACTCCCCCGTCACTATTGTAGCCTTATACTACTAACCCATAGCATTATATTTTATTTTATTATTTTTTATTTTATTCCTCGTGCACTGTTGTCTTGTCGTCCATTGTCGTACTGTCTGCTGTTACGCACCAACCGCCAAGTCAAATTCATTGTATGTCCGATATTATGGTAATAAATGTTTCCTGATTCCGGATTCCTGATGAAACTGAAAAATGCCCGTAGCTGAATAAAAAACAGATTTGTACCACAAAGATTTTGCAATTTATCACTCTTTCGGCGTAACACCTTCCAATGAACATTAAAGTTGACCATGTGTGCTCTGTATTCACGCCGCTTATTACATGTGACTTTGTGGCAATGTTATTTGCTGTACTTCGACTAATATACAAAACATGTATTAATTAGCATCAATTGATTTGACAGATACATGTAGAAGGTGTATGTACTGTATGCACGCATCTTAAATATATTTCCGCAATCCAATAGCCCTCTCCTATATATAACGTGCAGGTAGCTGATCCTGCGTCAGAAATAACGTCATCACGCCACAGACACGCCACAGACCCCCCGCCCCCTCTCTCCCGACCTTGGGAGCAGGAAAACGCGATCTCACCGTATTTTACGTGAAACACATGCGTAACGTGTGACATAATTGCAAAGGGTTACAATGAATGTTATTCGGTCTGCTTCAGATATCAAACACACCGTCACGATCATTTCAGTTTTATGCGCCGATCTTGACGGAAACATCGTGACGTCACCTTCTCTGTGCGGATCAATATCTGATCATGAAAAAATAACACGAATATCGGAAAAGAATAATAATTATAATAATAATAACATCACGGAGCTCTATAGGTCTGCAAACTCCATCCATGTCCCCATGACCCTCCATCTGTCGACCACCGTCACCACCTGCTTCATCAACCCATATTATTACATCCTCATCATCATCATCATCATCACAAGCTGCTCTTACCTTCTCTTGCGCGCGGTTCAGCCTTTTTTGCACGTTTTTAGCAAAGATTCCGGTTTTAATTTCCGCCATGATGCCTGCAGAGAGAGATAGGCGGATTAGCAACTAGAAAGAGAGACCAACTGACGGGGGGAGGTGTGCCTCTGTGTGTGTGTGTGTGCGCGCGTGTGTGTGTGTGTGCGCGCGTGTGTGTGTGCGTGTGCGTGCGTGTAGTGGGCGGGTGTTAGAGCAACGACTCAGCTGATTGGATTGTTTCAGCCTACTCTCTTTTCTTTCAATGAAACTGTGTATGAAACACCGTCAACTGAAATAAATGTCCATTTAAATCACATATGTCAAACTCGCGGCCCGCGGGCGGCCGGATATCAGCTCGCCCCCTCCGTCGGTCAGCGCCACCCTCCATATGAGTTTAATGGTCTGGCCCGCGTTCGATGAAGTGGGCAGTATTTGGCCCGAACCTGAAATGAGTTAGTCCATTAGTAATGGACTCTGCTCACTGTTACAGGACCAATGGCTTCCTGTTAGTGGGTGATTGGTTTGGGTTTGTAGGCCACTTGTAGTTTACGGACCTCAATCGGATTTATACATGATTTGGAAAATGAAATGTAATATTGATACCTCTGTTTTCTTTAAGTAATGCAATCACATGGGAATAAGGATTGTTGTTATCTGGTCACCTTGAAAATAGCTGTTTGTATCTACATAGGAAGTGAGTGCCATGTTTTCTACTGGAGAGCCGTGGTTCTCACACGGTAGCTTCGGCTTTATTCTGGAAACTCACCACTATGCAGACAAGCCTAAAAAAACGGGAGCTCGGGGATTATCTATACACACAATTAAATACTTATACTATGGGTAGGGTAAGTGGGAACCTGTTGTGTCTTTATTTTATTTTTCTGAGTCAGTTAGGAAGACAAAATGCGAATCCGAGGCCATAGCTCAGGTGACTGAGCTATGTAACACCTGTCCTCCACCAGCAGAGGGCATGCTGGTGTCACAGTGTGTGTGTGTGTGTGTGTGTGTGTGTGTGTGTGTGTGTGTGTGTGTGTGTGTGTGCGCGCCTGTGTGACAAGTCTGTTCTGAGCTTGCTCCATCTGCTGTGTGCAGGACTATAAACTAAAAACTTTAAAAATATATTTTACACCAACAAAGTGTCTCCTCCACGTGAGGTGATGATTCTCAGCTGTGGTCACCAGTGCCTGTGTGTGTGGTGTGTGTGTGGGTGTGGGAGGAAAGAATGAACAAGGGACACTCTCTCGTCCTACTCTTCTCTCCCTCGTCCTTCTCTTCTCTCCTTCCTCCTCCTCTTCTGTCGTGACGTTCATTCAGGAGGAAACACCACAAAGAGTCCTGAGATATTCTGAGAGACGACTCACAGTTTGTGTGTGTGAGTGTGTGTGAATCACAGGGAATACCTCTGTGGATGGGGGAGGGATTAACAGAGAGAGGTATAATTACAGTAACAGAGCAGAGAGGCAGAGCAGAGTGACCCTGCACACAGTGTTCATTCAGCTCAGACCACAAAACTCTCAGGACCAGAACCGTCAACAAGCATTAGGACCAGGTCTGCAGTACCTTAGAGATCCAAAGACCAGCCCAAGGATCAGAACACCAGTCTACTGCTCCCCTGTGAACTCTGCTGACAATCGGTGAGGATTTCTAAGTTCTACGTGTTTCTGTTGCATCTCCTCACTCCTCTCAAACATCAGATGGATTCTACTGGACTCTCCTTAGTCCTAGTCTGAGGTCTTGAACTGTTCACCAGCTGCTTCCTGTTTCTGAATTTAGACCAGCTGTCTCTCACTCAGAGACTCCTCAAACAGTACTGATATTGTCTTTACTGTGAAACTATTGGAGCACCATGTCGTCTCAGTTTTCTGTGCTCTTCTTCATGGCGGTCGGTGTTCTCGCCGACGCCTCTCCGACCATCGCTCCTGCTTTTGAGGTTGATGTGGCATCTCGGCTTCAGGAGGTTGCACCATCTTCAGACTGTCCGTCCTGCTCTCTGCTTCAGATGAGGATAAATTCATCTTCACCAGGAGGACAAAGCGACATGGTGGAGGCTGTGAAGCGTCACATTCTCAATATGCTGCACCTGAGCACTCGGCCTAACCTGACACAGCCGGTCCCTCGCGCAGCTTTGCTCAACGCCATCAAGAAGCTGCACGTTGGCCGTGTGGCCAAAGACGGAAGCGTGGAGATCCAGGAGATGGGGAGGGGGCCCTGGGCCCAAACACCACCTCATCCTCCGTCTGAAATCATCACCTTTGCAGAGCCAGGTGAGTCAACCATCAGCATGTCAGGTTTACTCTTAGTTGGGAGTTACAGAGTGGGAGGTCAATTTTGTAGAGTATAATAAGTATTCTATGTGTGTGCCAGTTAGAGTGAAGACTTTCAATTATTTCATATAAATGTACAGTTACAAGGCTAGAGAGGTAAACTCCAAAATATAACAGGAATTAAAGTTACTTGGTTCTGGTTTTACAGAGCTACAGATACAGATTCAGACCAACTTTCTGAATTGTTTACAATGCATTCAGGGTGGTTTTTGTTTCTTGTCCATGCACTTCCCTATTTGCCAGAACGCCTAAAGCTGAAAACAATTAAACATTGTTAGTGTATTGTTGACACTGAGCAACATGAGTTTACCAACTCTCGCTAACCTTATTATCTGAACAGATTATTATGCATTATGCAGGTTAGTTAGATTCATGATTTAAATTAAGTTTATTCATTTAAACTATATTATTAACTGTTAAGATGCCTCTATTTTATTCTACACTATTACAGCCAATAATGTCACAAAAAAGTTGCTGCCGAAAACATTGTGGCATGCCTTGTACACCTGCAAATCACTCCGTGCTTATGCTACGTTCTCACCCAATGCCACGCTCGCGTTCCGCGCCACAGGGTTGCATACAAAGTCTATTAACAGATGCAATGCAAACCTATGATACAGCGACACGTTTCTCGCGAGTTCGCTGTGAAGGCGACACGATTTCAGGCACAAGTCACAGCAAATGTGAAAGTTTAAATATTTCAACTTCGGAGACAAACCAGCGTGACGCCACGGCACAATAGCCTCTCAGTTTTGAGATGCTCCCTCTGTCGTCACTCACGTGCCGCAAACAGCTGAAATAATAGTAGATGTTGACTGGGGACACTGTCATTGTGAAGCGAGCGTTGCTGCGTGGAGTGACAGCACCATCAAAAAGTGGCACTTGGTATGTACCAATCTCGAGGGAATCTTAGAGTGGGCCGTATGTTTGACCCCCCTGTACTAGAGGTTACCTGTGGGTAACATGCACTCTAACACGCACGGCTGGCTTGGCTATGTCAACAAAGCTAGGAAGGGCTGGTATTACAACACACCGAGGGAGATTTCTTTCTCTGCACAGGTCCACAATATCGCTCCACTTTATTGTTTAATACACAATTGATTGTGCTGGAATATTACACCTAAAAGATCACTTAATGAAGCTTCTAGTTATTCACAAAATTGAACAATTGTCTGCAACATAAATGCACAATTGTGCTATATTAATACCATCGCACACTGCTTACTTATATTTCATTGAAACCTGTAATGGGAGAAAAATACAAAAATCATAATCAACATTACCCTCATGATCCACCTGGTCCATCCCTCGATTTCCATTTCTAATGACATGTCCAGTCTTTTGTTTAATCTACGCAAGCTCCTCCCAAATGTCACAAGTATGCATCGGATTGGTTGATCAGGAACAAAGCTTTTTCCCCCAAATCTGTAAAGAACAAAACCATATATATGTATTATATCTACATACATCCTTAATATCCATCCATCCATTGTCAAACCGCTTATCCTGCACACAGGGTCGCGGGGGGGCTGGAGTCCATCCCAGCCAACTTCGGGCGATAGACAGGGTACATCCTGGATTGGTCGCCAGCCAATCGCAGGGCTACACAGAGACACACAACCATTCACACTCACATTCACACATCTACGGGCAATTTAAAGTCCCCAATTACCTGATACCCAGAGCACGTCTTTGGACTGTGGGAGGAAGCCGGAGAACCCGGAGAGAACCCACGCAGACACGGGGAGAACATGCAGACTCCACACAGAAAGGCCACTGGGCGGAGTGGAACCCAGGACCTTCTTGCTGTGAGGCAACAGTGCTAACCACCACGCCACTGTGCCGCCCTTAATAGATGTACAAATAAATATATCTCCTGAGCCAATAAGATCAGTAGGGTCTGTCAGTCTGCCCGTCGGTCTGTCTGCTCCTCGATCACAACAAATGACGGCATTTAAGGTTTTTTAAACGAAGAATGGCCACCAATGCATCAGGTTGGAAGTCTTGTCCGTGTCTGTCCATCTGTCTATCCATCCGTCTGCCTGTCCATCTGTCTGTCTGTCTGTGTGTTTGTCTGTGTGCTGTCTGTGTTTGTCTTCCCGTCAGCCTGCCTGTCTGTCTGTGTGTGTGTGTGTGTGTGTGTGTGTCTTTCTGTGTGCTGTGTTATTGGCTCATTCACTAACCCAAGAGTTCAAGGTTTGCACAATGATGTTCAGTCAGAACAGAGCCCGTTTCTATTGATCCACTCAGAGTGAAGTCTGCTTCATGTAGCACGTACTAAACCAGGAAGTAGCTGCTGAAATAATGATCAAGCTCCATTCATCTCTTCAATAGTTATTTTTTTCATTCATGATTTAAGCACTCCATATTGTGTCTTCTACCACATCAGTGGAGCTGAGTGATCAGACGGAGGATTTAAACAATGCTGATAATTCATTCAATTAATCACTTGATTAATCAATAATCTAACTGAATGCCACACAAACAGAATTACATTAGTCTTGTTCTCCCTAACCTTGTGCAGTAGGATTAATAAAGAATTACTGTATCATATCTTTTATCTTATATTGTGAGGTTGTGTTAGTAGCCTCTTACAGTTCTTAAAGGGTTGGATTATCTCATCTCTTATCTTATCGTGGAACATTGTGTGTTGGTAAATGTGACACAGCTCGTGGCCGTCTTTTTTGTCTCATTGCTTGTTTGCTTACATAAATGTACAGAATGGCTTTGTTCTATAAATAGTCTTCTCTTTGAGAGGAATCTTTAATTAAAAATGTCCCTCAAAGGCCGCCTGAAATTAGTGGACAGTAACGAGGGAGGTGGTCGGGTGGGGGGGGTGGGGGGGGGGAATACCAAGTGGTCTTAGGCCGTAAATAATCTCTTCATTCAGATAAATCTAGGCCTCAGTAATTATTTTTCAGCAGGAAACAAAGAATGTGTGTGTGTGATTGTGTGTGCGAGTGTGTGTGTTTGGCCTTCAACAGGCCTCTTCTTTTTTTAGTGTCTCTGCTCATATTGAGTATATTTAGAGGTGGCTCCATTCATGCATTTATTCTCGATGGCATTGTTCATTCATTGAAATGACAGAAAGACAGAAACAGAAGGGGTGGTAGGGGGGCAGGGGGACAGGGTCACAGTTGTTTTATGTGGCCAAACATTCACTTAGGACCAAAAACAGCTGATTTAGAAGTTTTAGGTTTGTTTTAAAAGTGAGTGAAAAGTAACTTAAAGATCCTACTAATCTTTCCTAATGTCTGAATGTTTCCGTTTTTCATCAGGTTTGACTTTATTTCCACATCACAGAGAAAACAGATTTATTTGTAGACAGTATGAGGAAAACTGAGCTTCTTAATGTTGTCAGCAGGATCATCAGACTGAGATAGGGGGTCATGTAAGGGATGGTATGTAAGGTAATAAGTCCAGTAGAGTCTAGCAGAGACCTTCTAGTACACAAGACAGTCCCATTACCAGCATTCATGAGAAATTCCTTCCTGCTAACATGGTATTTGTTCTCTCTTGGCAGGAGACTTGGTGAGCACGGTAACCTTTGACATTTCGAAGGAGGGCACCAGCTTGTCGGTTGTGGAACAGGCAAATGTCTGGATCTTTCTTAAGATATCCACTGCAAACCGAGGAAAAGGCAAAGTGATGCTTCGGCTGCTACAGCTTCCATATGAGGATGTTGGTGAGAAGGAGGAGTGTGTTTCAGAGAAGATGGTGGACACTCGTCGTAGTGGCTGGCACACACTCACCGTCTCCCGCACTGTTCAGGCCCTGCTGGAAGGAGGCAGAAGCTTGCTCAGCCTGCGGGTCTCCTGCACGCTGTGCACCGAGGCTGGAGCTTCTCCGGTCCTGATGCCTGCCATGGGCGAGCACCCGACTGGGAGGTATCAGTCCCACCGGCCGTTTCTCATGGTGGTCTTAAGAGCTGAAGAAGAAGCGACTCAGCGACGAGTCAAACGAGGTCTGGAGTGCGACGGGAAAATCCGCGTCTGCTGCAAACGACAGTTTTATGTGAATTTCAAAGATATTGGCTGGAACGACTGGATTATCGCTCCGTCTGGTTACCATGCCAACTACTGTGAGGGTGAATGTCCAAGCCACATGGCGAGCTTCAGTGGTTCATCCCTATCCTTCCATTCAACGGTCATTAACCATTATCGAATGAGAGGCTACAGTCCGTTTCAGAACATGAAGTCGTGCTGCGTGCCGACGAGGCTGCGAGCAATGTCGATGCTTTACTACAACGAGGAGCAGAAAATCATCAAGAAGGACATCCAGGACATGATCGTGGACGAGTGCAGTTGCTCGTAAGCACTCACGCAGACATAAAAAACAGTTCCTGCTTCCTGCAAGAGAAACATCAGTCCAGCACTTTCCCAGTAAAGATGAAGTATTTATAATTAGTGACGAGCCATAGTAGTTCATATGGGGAGAGACTCTTTTCCACATTGGAACGACATGAGAAAACAGCTCCTGCAATGTCTACATGTATATGTGAGATCTGTCTAATGTTTTCTATTGATACGGTTCACCCTGTGTAAAGATGTGTGATGCTGTTGAGATGCTTGAAAGAAAAGTGTTAAACTGGCTGTTGGAGCCAAACATTATGATTATGAACATAATAGTATTGTTATATAAGTTGACTGTTGGTAGTTCCACACATTCCTGGTACATTTTTAGACTCAGAAGGAAGCCAAAGACACAAATGAGGAAAGTCTGATTGAATTAGACGAGGTGTCAGTTAACAAGCTATGACTAAATTAACTTGATGTGTATGTTAACGAGCTCTGAATGAATTAACTGCACCATGTGGGAGTTAACAAGCTCTGAGTAAATTTACTGGACCATGCATCAGTTAACAAGCTCTGATTAAGTTAACTAAACAATGTCAGTTAACAAGTTGTGAATAAATGAACTGGACGTTGTGTGAGTAAACAAGCTGTCAATAAATTAACTCATCATTTGTTTGTTAACGATCTGTCGGTAATAAACTAAAACATGTGTAGCTACACATGTATTTGTTATCGACCTGCGAGTAAATTAACTAATGGGTCAGTTAACCAACTCTCAGTAAATTAACAGAATGATTAGGGCTGTCAACATTAACGCATTAATCCATGCAATTAATATGGCCTAGATTAATGCAACAAAATATTTTAACGTAGTTAACATTCGTTTGTTTACTTCCAGTTTAAACAAGAAGTTGGCCGCGGAAAGGAAACGGCCGCTAGCTGCAGTTAGTTACATCAAGATGGAGCTTTTTGCATTGGAAGTAAAACAAACAGTGGTGCAACATACAGCAGAGAACTATGCAGAGGAATTACTCCACGTGTCAAACAGAAGGGGTGTGAGTGGCAAACAGACCACTTAAAGCACTGCTATGTTAAACTAGCTGCTAGGCTAAGCTAGCTGCTATGCTACTTCCTTCTCAACTATCTAATCTAATGTTACCCTGCGCAGAACCCAGTCTGCAGAGGACCACCACTGTGTCCCTAATGGCGCGTTTCCACCGAGCGGTATAGTACGGTACGGGTCGGTACGGGTCGGGTCTGTTAACCATGATTTGGCGAGTGTTTCCTCCGCCAACAGTACCCTTACTTGATAGGCGTGGTGTATTCCAGAAAGTAGTGATAACGTCACTTGACAGGCGTGGTGTATTCCAGAAAGTAGTGATGACGTCACTTGATAGGCGTGGTGTATGACGGAAAGTAGATTGACGTCATTCGATCGCGCGAAAACTGAAAGCTAACCGCAAACAACAATGGAGGACGTGCAGCCGATCCTGTTCCTGCTTCTCCATATGTGGCTGTTTGTCACAAGGAGACGACACTCTTTGTTTGAGCAAAGGCTACATGCTGCAGGTGTGTTACGCGTGTTGTCTTTCCCCTTGCGGCACGCGCAAATGACGACACTCTTTCAACCAATCAACGCTCTGCAGTGAGTCTAGCTCCGCCCTTTAGTACCAAACAACTGTCAGGTGCCCCAACGGAAGGGAACCCAAAAAGTGGTACGGTACGGATTTTTTTTTACCATTCTCAACTTTTGGCAGTGGAGACACAAATAAAAGGGTACCGACCCGACCCGTACCGTACCGTTCCGCTCGGTGGAAACGCGCCATATAAGGCCGTGGTTTGAAAACGTCCTGGCTAAATGTGGGGAGATTGTTGGCACTTCAAACACAGCCGTTAAATGGAGAGTTGAGAGCAAAGTGCACGAGGACAACAGGTAGAGTCGCTAGTTCAACATGTTCCACCAGGTGGAATTCTGGCTCCATCAAATGTGTGTAGTTTTATGTTTAAAATAACATTAAAAATGAAACAACAATGTCTAAATTACACTTTCTAAAGTGATTACTCATGGAGTAATCACTCATGGAGTAATCACTCCACTCCAAAAAACATTGCAAGTATTTATGAGTTAGCTATAATACATTTCATTTTTCCTTCTATTCTTTGATTGTCGTGTTTAAATCTCAGTTTTTTCCCCTCGGCTCAAAAAGCTCATGGGACAATCAGAGTTTGGGATATAGTTTAACAAAAGCCATTCTTGTCACTATTGACTGTCTGTGCTTCACAGATGACAAAAAAAATGTTGTTCTTCCCGCCATCTTTAGTTAGACCTAACCAGACTACTGAAGATGGCTGTGTTCAATTTCATACGGTTTCTGTCGACAATAAATTAAGTGAGCTGCCAGGTGATTAAACCTGTTGACATTCACTGTAAGAGAGAAACTGGCATTCAGAAGGAGTACATGCAGGCTCAAGAGAAATACACTTGGTCAATAAATATGTTATTCATTCAGTGGCTAATACTAGTGATCGGACATCCACATAACGTTGGAAAATATTCCCCTTTAAGTCTTCTGTCCATTTTGCAAATGGGATAAAAGAAGAAAACCTCTGATCAAATCTGAAGCTTCGAGCAGGTAGTGTTTTCAGTTGGAGTGATGTAAAACCCAACACTTGGCTCTTTGTTTCCACAGTAAAACTGGAGCGATGGCTGGCAGACAGAAAGGCCCCTCCACTTTCCCTTCCATCCGCTCTGCCATCTGGACTGAGCTGATGTTAAGTTAAACCTTAGCAGGTCCAACCAGAGCCAATTGGCACGGCGTCGCTCTGTTTGTTCGCTGACCTACAAACTCATCGCTGAGTTGACAAGTTGATTTAAGAAGCACAAAGACGGCTGCTGAGGCAAACACAAAGCCCTCTGGGCACTGGAGCATATCACGTAAACAGAAATACCTCCCGAAAACGGCCCAAACCGCTACTCAATATTGAAAGAAATTCTGCTTTGAAGAGACGCCTATTATGCTACATTTGCACATTTACATAACACTTAGGTGATAATGGAGCAAAACAACACAATGGTGTGCTTCTGAATGCAGTTTGTGTTCCTTTGTTCTCATTTAAGAGGGCTAAATAGTTCTACATGTCAAGTTTACTCTACACGCTCCACGGATACATATTAAGAATGATAGGAAACATTTGGGGCAACTTTGGGAGAGCATGGTTGTCCTCCAATTCAAGGATTGGCGGTTTTATTCCCAGGGCACACGTGTCGATGTGTCCTCGGGCAAGACTCTTAACCCCAACATTACTCCTCGAGCTGTTACTATGGGGTGTGAATTCTAGTTACTGATGGGCAGGTGACCCGGTGTATGGTAGCTGTTAGCGTGCTTTGAGTGGTCCATTTATTATTTGCAACACTCCACTAGTTTAACTGGAGAACAGTGGGACACTGGTTTAAGCGGGGCAAATTGGGATGCTACACTGGTTTAACTGGAGAAGAGTGGGACACCACACTGGTTTAAATGGAGGCGATTTGGGCAATACACTGGTTTAACTGTTTCAGATCAGACCAGAACTGAAGCTGCTTCTCCAGGTTTGGTTCTGGGAACAGAAAGAAGACCCATCCTAGACGACCTGAGGTGTTGGGACAGTTTGTAAGCAGGTCAGACATGTATTTTGTCCCCAAACAATTTTTTTTTATACTCCAACAAAGTAAATTCTTTTTGGACAGGAAACCAGTGTAAAGACCTCAGAACGGTAGTGATATGATCCACTGTTTGGTCTTAGTGAGGACTCGAGACCTGTCACCAGACCGTTACAATAGAAGATGAATGCATGGATGAGTTTCTCTTTCATTAGTGTATTCTAGCTTTAAATCTTTGACTCAGAGAAGGAAAGGGTTAGAGTAAAAATCTGTTCATTGATTATCACAGGAGTAGAGAAGGTGCGCTGGGAACCGCAAGGTTGGTGGTTCGAGTCCCGTGTCCCAAGTTGAAGTGCCCCTGAGCTGACCCCTAATTGCTCCTCGGGAAAAAATGTAAAAACCAATGGGTTAAAAATGTAATGGAAGTCGCGTTGGATAAAAGAGTCAGCTAAATGACATGTAATGTAACAATGAAAGATCATATTCCTAACTTACTCCAGTCTGGTGTTCTGTCTTTGACTTTCCTGTTCTTCCGTATTTACATTTGGTCTACTAACTGCCTTTTTTCCCCACTTTGTTTTAAAGACACGTAGACTTTGTAAATCTGTAATTTTAGTCTTGCACTAAGAGCCAATCACAAGCCTTTCGTCTCCTGTGACCAGTGTGAAGAACAACTTGTAACACTCAGATTTATTTTTACAGGTTTTCATTTCATGTGAAGAGGAGACATTGAAAGTGGTGTGACGGAGGCAGTAATGGTGCAGAAGCACTGCAAGGAGGGAAGACGTCCACAGAAACGTGATGAGAGGTGGAGGATGAGTCAAACTGTCAAAATGAGTCAAACTGAAGGATCTATTTTTTGTGTGTATGTGTGTGGGCAAGCCGCAGGATACGTCAGTGCTCTTAGCCGAGGGAAGGCCTGGTAACCTAAACACCACCTCCACTACAAACTGCTACTCAAACACTGAGCACACTCAGCTGCTATTGAAAGACCTTCACACGCAGATCTTTTCTCACACTAAATGAGAGCAGACTTCAGTTGTCGGGACACAAGTATAGGCTCATCTGTGTGTCTCATAACAATATTGAAACATTGTCTTTATTTTTCACACAAATCACTTTTAGAGATTCTGGCAACGTTCTATATGTGACCAAATGGACACTTAAAATACTTTGGAATAATATCCAGACGTGACAACGCCACTCTTTGAGGGGAGAGACCCTGAATTCAATTCAATCTTACTGGCCAAAAACCCCATACAAGGTAGATCATAGACGGACAGAGGCTTCTGTGTGTCGGTGAAATATCACTTTTATTTAAACAATAACTTTATAAAACACATCCAAATAATTTATACCAGTAGTGACAACAATGACACTTCCAACAATAAAAACACTGCACTCTGTTAAGAAAGGCTAAAATAACCAACACACAAATACGATTAATGATCCTGGTTAAAAAGACACAACACAATAGACATATATAATAACACATGAAAACAATGACACATATTTCTAAGATGAATTACAGTTCTTTCTGATATAGGCAAATTTTTTGGGCTGATTTCTGCTAATTTTGTAAAAACACTGCAAACTCGGCACGGTGGCGTGCGTGGTGGTTAGCACTGTTGCCTCACAGCAAGAAGGTCCTGGGTTTGATTCCGCCCAGTGGCCTTTCTGTGTGGAGTCTGCATGTTCTCCCCGTGTCTGCGTGGGTTCTCTCCGGGTTCTCCAGCTTCCTCCCACAGTCCAAAGACGTGCTCGGGGATCAGGTTAATTGGGGACTTTAAATTTCCCGTGAATGTGAGTGTGAATGGTTGTGTGTCTCTGTGTTAGTCCTGCGATTGGCTGGCGACCAATCCAGCATGTACCCTGTCTATCGCCCCAAGGTTGGCTGGGATGGACTCCAGCCCCCCCGCGACCCTGTGTGCAGGATAAGCGGTTTGACGATGGATGGATGGATGGAGTACAAACTAATTAACACATACAGTATATGTAGCAACAATTCAATTCATTTTATTTTGTAGAGCCCAAAATCGCAAATTACTAATTTGCCTCAGAGGGCTTTACAGTCTGTACAGTCTGTGCACAACAGTCTGTGCACATACAACATCCTCTGTCCCGAAACCTTCACATCGGCACAGGAAAAACTACCCAAAAAATGAAAAAACCCTTCCAAGAGGAAAAAAAGGGAAGAAATCTTAGGAAGAACGTCAGAGGAGGATCCGTCTCCTGATGGACAGACTACAATGATGTCATGTGTACAGAATGAACAATGTATAATACATGCAATTATATGACAGAAATGATTCAAGTAATTGTGAGTAAGCCAGGCGCACAGCAGGACCACTGCAGGGACCACCACCATCAGATAGAACCACCATCACATAGAACCACCATCCACAGAAGCCTGTGGGGAGGGAGAGCACAGAGACTTTAGGAGAGGGTAATGATGATTTACGAGTACAGTAATATGATTAATATCTAAAATAATAATGATGATGGCAGCAGCAGGCGTCAGAAGGGCCACGGCAGGTGTCAGGACCAGGGTCCAGAAGGAACTACGATCTACGGAGACCTGTAGCACCGCAGTGCCGCAGATCTTTTGAAAAAAGAAAAAGCTCATTCAAAACTCAACAAAATTATAAAAATCTGATCTTGTAACAGTCTGGCACAGGGTTTATAGAATTTGATTCGCTGTAGGCACATTAATCTCATTCCTACTTCTCTAATGATAAAGCCTGGCTTTGATTTTATAGTAGTCAGTCCACACCTGGGGGCTATTGCACAAAAGTAGAATAAAGAAATCCAGGATAACTGAAAAAGCAGAGCTTGACTGAGTGTGATCGGCTCATCGCTGGTTAATCGGTTACATGTTTGCTGAGCCGGGATGAGAAGATGAGAGCTAAGTCAATCCAGGTGTACATAGCGCACGTTCACAGCTTTCGTAAAGAGACCACGGCATTGATCACAGATTTACTGATGCAGAAATGGAGAAGACGTGCGCTGCATATTTTTCACCTGCTGAGCAACAATAATTATGGAAATTTATGAGGAGATGAAGCATAAACTATGCAAAAAAAAGTAAAAACCGCAGCTGTAATTAAACAGAGAAAAAGACTGGCAGACAATCGCGGACCGACTGAATGCGGAAGGATTTAAAAATATCTACTTACTAGGAACGTTGTAGACAGTTTTAATGGCTTTTAATATGATTGTTTTATGTGTTGGTTTTCTTGCTGTATGTGTGGTTATGTGCTAAATGTAGTGGTTTTACCGTAAAGTTATTACAGTTATAACAAGAACAAGAAAAGTGCCATTTCATTCAATTAAATCTAACTTGCTATAGATAAGAGCCATTATAAGTACCATTTTTTCAACAAGTCTTTTTAATCAAAGTAGAGTCTGACGAAGTGTGTCTTTAGTTTGCGGCGGAAGATGTGAAGGCTTTCGCGGTCCTGATGTCATCAGAGAGCTCACTCCACTATTTAGGAGCAGTCCATGTCTCTTTGCTGTCCATGTCCTGGATGTAGACTGGAACTGATCTATTCACAGCATGGTACATGACATACATGAGATCTGTGCCGCCACCTGAGTGTCTGAGTGAGGGAAGGAGAGAATTCGTTGTGTGTCATCGGCATAGCTGTGGTAGGAGAAGCCATGTGAGCGAATCACACCGCCGAGAGAGTTGGTGTAGAGCGAGAAGAGGAGGGTCCCAGCATCTCGCACCTGGACTCCTGTAACTCTCTCCTGCAGGTCTCCTACTACCACCATTCCACCTCTGCAGCTCATCCAGAATGCAGCAGCTCCACTGGTCTTTAACCTTCCTAAGTTCTCCCTCACTCCTCCCCTCCTCCGCTCTCTTCACTGGTACCGGTGGCTCATCCAGTTCTAAACATGGTGCTCACGTACCGTGCTGTGAATGGATGGGGTCCAGCTTACATCCAGGACCTGGTCCAACCCGACGTCCCGACCTGCACTCTCCGCTCTGCATGTGATAAACTGCTTGTTCCTCCTCACTGAGAGCAAAACACTCGACTAGATCACCACTCTTTGCTGTCCTGCTCCTAAATGGTGGAAGGAGGTCTCTGAAGACATCAGGACCACAGAGAGCCTTCACATCTTCAGACTAAAGACACACCTCTTCAGACTCTACCTCCACTAACACACTAACTAACTGTAGCACTTACATTGGACTTATAATGGCTCTCTATATCAAGTTGTATATCGGCTTATTTGATGAAATTGCACTTCTTCTGGGTTTGTATCCTTATGGTTGAAATGGATATATTTTAAGTCCCTTTGGATAAAAGCTTCATCTAAATGACATGTAATATAATGTTACGTAAAAACTGAAAACCCTTCCGTGGGGAAAAACAGGAAGAAACTTCAGGGAGAACGTCCGAGGAGGATCCCTCTCCCGGGATGGACAGACTACAATGGATGTCATGTGTACAGAATGAACAATGCCAAAGATGTACAATACATTCAGTTCCTATGACAGAAATTATTAAAATATTGCGAGTAGTAAGCCAGGTGTACGACAGGATCACTGCAGGGACACTGTATGCCACCATCAGATATAGCCACCATCCACAGAAGTCTTTAGGGTAGGAAAAGGTGGATGTGATCTGTGTTCTGTTTATGTTTACCAAGAAAAACATCCAAGCCCGGCTACATTTCGCAAAAACACTAATGAAGTCTCAAAAAGGGGGGGTGCATCATACCCAGAGTGAATCACTAGCTGAAGATATAGCAGAGACTAGTTTCAAATTAACAAAGACTAGCTGCAGATATACAGGGACTATCTTTAGGTATCTATCTACTCTTGTTTATTCATTGACCGTCTGCTCTGTTTTCATTCACATGATCTTTTTTTCTCACTCCATTTTGCCTTCATCACTAAGTCAGTTTGTCCAAACACCCACAGAGCAGAGTGACAGATGACTCACCTTCTTGGTAGACTCCTTTGGAGGATTCTTTGGAGGATAGCACACAAAGAATCCTATAGATTTCAGAATCAGTCAGCTTTATTTGCAATGTATGCGTGTTGACTCCAGTTACATGTGTTCTCAATTTACATACAATAGTACAATAAATAGGAATAAACAAAATAAATAAGAAAAGGAATATGTATAAGAATAAAAACAAGGAAAACAGAAACAGAACAACTATACAGTACAAATATAATTAAAGCTGCAAGCAGTGATGGACAGGTCTTTGCTCACAAACATTGATGTACTATGATGTTTTCAAAAGTTCCTTAAATGATTTAAGATTTAAGACATGTGTGTTTTGCCGCCACTGTCAACGGGAGCTGAACACCGAGAACTACTGCTGGCTCTGAACCAGTGGTTGGAAAAAAAAACAAGGCCCATCCACTCCTTGACCCCAGGTATACGTACTCACCTATGGACCTTGCTGTACTGGGGAATGTTCAAAGGGTTTAAATTATTAAAGACAGAGTTCATACACATTTTGACCAATGGATTTCTATGACTTTTCCATGACAACATTTTTGGTCAAATCTCTGTGTGTACATGAAAAAGTGAGAAAATGTAGTATCGAAACGAGAATTCCAAGGCATATACAGCCCCTTACCAGTCAATTTTTTTTTAATGTTTACAATTATCCACTATGGGATAATTGTAGATATTATGAGTATCATTTGGGTTTTTCCCCAAACGATATTCGATACCAGTGCTAAAACGATACTTTTAAAACACACCGGTGCCTGAACCAACATTTTTCCCCCCTCAAAAGCACTGCGTCTTTACTGTGAAGAATTGGTTGCCATGGCAACAGCTTAACACAGAAACAAGAAGATTTTAAGAACTTTGAATCACCAAGACATTGGGATTGTTCTGTCGAAATATGAAGTGGCTCTGACAAAATTTAAAATGGTGGAAAATCTTAATGAGCGGATTCTTTCTTACTTTTTGTAGAGCATGCGGATAACCCTAACCCTAACCCTAACCTGTGTGCAAAGTTTTAAGTCAATCGGTCATTGGGAGAAAAAAGTAAAGTAAGGTAAAAGATTTTTTTGTGTGTTATATTGATTTATTTATTCACTAGTAACATATCAACTGTTTTGTACACACCAGAACACTCACAGGGGTTTTGCTTTATCCCCACAGAAACAATTGTCAAGATAGACAAAGTAGTTACAGAGTTATCACATTTTTCATCATGGGTATGCCATTTTCAGAATAAAGGCCAAAAATCATCGTTATGGCTTGTAGTTATTCTATATGGAGAGGTTATCACTTCCGCAGACTGCTGAGGAGTCTATGGTCTTTTGGAGTGCAGGGGGCATTCCTGAGGACCTTCTTTTAGTGTGTGCTGGCATCAGCCTTTGTTTTTGGAGTGGTCTTCTGGCGCAGCAGCATCTCCACAGCTGGGAACAGGACGAGACTAAATAAACTGATTAAGAAGGCGAGCAGTGTGCTGGGGTGTCCTCAGGATACAGTGGCGTTGGTTGGAGAGAGGAGGTTAATGGTGAAAATGACCCCCCCTTATTCTGAGGCTGCTCAACTCTGCTCCCAGAACTGAGAAATCCCCTAAAACCTTTGCAATAATAATATGGCCTAAATTGCATGATATAAATACTTTGCGCAACAACTTGGTTGTATGATATATTTATGTCTGTACATATAATATTTCTTATTTCATTTAAATTAATCTGGATTATTTCATTTAAATTATTGTAAATTCTTCCTATCTTTGTATTACTGCTTGTTAGTTTTTGATCTTGTTTTTTGTTCTATTTCTGTTTGCACTTTGCTGCTGTAATTCTGTGAATTTCCCTGCTGCGGGACTAATAAAGGATTACACTTTTTGATTTTATCATATTGATTTGAAGTTATATATATATATATATATATATATATATATATATATATATATATATATATAAATATATATATATATTAAGCAGCAGCTCCTCTCTGTGGACATGATATGAACACTTTTTTATAAAATAATACTTTTTATTTAATACTCCTAAAGCGATTCATTTGTTTATGTTGATTATAGTGGATCACGGTCGCGTTAGCTAATCATTTCCCACCGCAGCTTTAGCTAGCTGGCTAACGCCGCGTTCTCTCCTGCTGCGTTAAATGACTCAACTCATCAAGCTGTAGCTAACGTTAGCTAAGTCTATGTCAACAAAGCTCCTGGGTAACTTAACTTAGATGGATCAGAAAATATTAAAACCATCACTCACCCTGTTCGCAATTCACTCAATCTCGCGCTCCCTTCTGACACGCGCACCTGTTCGCAGTTCACTGAATATGAATATAATATGAATATGAATGCCCCCCCCCCAAAAAAACACATTGAATCTACACGATTCACGTAGGTCACCTGTTTTGGTTTCAAAACGGCGAACTTTGCCAAAAGGTGAGGGATTTTCACATTCTGGGACTCAATTTTAGTTCAATGCCCCTGGTTTTTAATTTAAACTTGAGTTTGTAACAAAGGGAGGTGAATACTTAGGCAAGGCACTATACAAAAGTCACAGTATAGTCTAATAAAAGGTAATAAAGGTTTGTTGAAATGAAAATGAAACCAGTGTACCTTCAGACCTTCAGCTCTGAAGTAGAGGAGGTACTAGAAGGGTAATTTCTCTCCAGAGTGTGTTCTGGTCTCTCAGCTGATCTGGAGTCAGAACGCTGAGACAAAAGTTCTTAATTAGATTAGATTCAACTTTATTGTCATCGTACGGAGCACAGGTACTGAGACAAGAAAATGCAGTTTAGCATCTAACCAGAAGTGCAAGAAAGCCGATAAAGTGCAGAGTATATCGATGTGATATATAAATAAGAATATGTACAGTATGACATATACGTGGAGTATATACAGTATATACATTAAGCACCAAGGTTGTAAATATGAATGGCATGGTAGTCGAAATGTGGCATAATTGAAGTGCAAACTGCTGTGATGCGCTGGGCAGTTTTCACCGATATGCAGCAGAGCGAGTGCCGTACCACACCGTGATGCAGTTGGTGAGGATGCTCTCGATGGTGCAGCAGTAGAAGTTCACCAGGACGGGTCACCCAGGAACTTGCAACACGCTCAACCTCCGTCCCGTTGATGGAGATGGGGGTATGTGAGTCAATTATTGTAGAAGAGAAAATATTTACAGCTTTTCCTCTGAACACAAAGCTCTGAGTGATTTCTAATCTTAAAACTAAAATGTATGAAGTGCTTTTTTGTAAAAAAAGTTTACAAACTGAAGTGAAGAATGAAGAAAGTATAGTTAGATATTATTTATTTCACACATGGTTGAGTTAAGAAGCCAACTGGTTTCACACTCATATCATATAGACACATCTACACTTTAAAGTATTGACTCCATGTTGGAGTGAACAATAGATCAAAAATAAACATCCTAAACGAGTCCCCTGTAAACGCGCTTATGGCTTTGTTCTCCTCGAGAACCCGGTTTCAAGAAGACGGTTTTCCTTAAGAAAATCAAAGAAATCTCTGAACCAGCCCAGAGGTGTAATTCACTACTTTCTGTTTGAGCTGAGTGTCTCTGTGAGAACTTCCAACCTCAGGGACCGATCCAGGACACCAAGTTTTGCCTCGCAACGCAAATCCGTTACAACCCTGTCAAACAAGAGCCGTAACAGACAGAATGAGGTCATCATGTGAGTGCAATAAGTCTCTTTCCTTCCTTCAGGCATCACAGTATTATCAATAATGGCTCTAATCCGTATTAGTCGATATAGAGGCGTATGTTGTCTTTCATCTGCAAATAATATTAAAGTAATATTTCAGAGACAATGACCGATAATGAGCTCATCATCCTGTTCAAATGTCAGGAAGCAGAGCAGGGAAGGAGGACCCCCCCCAGCACCTAAACAGAACCACAGACCAAAACAGCAGATACTGGCCATGCCCACTGACGTGATGATATAACAGGTTTTTACCATTACCAACGCACCGTCGCAAAAATCAATAAATTAAAGTTATTGGTCACAAACACTGTGGGTGTGGGTGGAGTAGGCCACTACCGCAGCAGGCAAGGAGGTGTCACGGATGGTGCCAGAGGTTTTCACCGCTTTCTGAGAGGAACGCTATTGTTCAGAGTCTAAAGAGACACGGACAAAATACTCTGCTGTGATTGGCTGAAGTGAGGCGTTATGAGACAATTACACATGACACAATAAGTGGAATATTATTAGATCGAAACACACATCATTCCTAAAAGATAACTGACATTCTAGTGACGTCACAGATAAACGAGATCTAAAACGATGATGTCAGAAATGATGATGTCACATTGAGAGGACAATGACACTTACCAGGCGGAGGCGGTGTGTGTACAGCGATTCTGGTTCTTCTGGCTCCTTGGTTGGCATGGCAACGTGCCAGCGCTGCAGCTCCGCGATGATCTCTGCCTGGCTGAAGAGGACTCCTGGGTCGGCACGGCAACGGTTGATCAGCTCCACCAAACTCTCTTTATAGTGCAACCTGCAGGTACACCGGATCATGAGACAAACTCCCCTCTACGCTAAGCTCACCTTAATGGGCCGAGCCTTAACTGGGAGGGGCCAAAAACTGGGAGCAAGTGGTCTTACTGGCAGTATCCCCTGTATTCATGGAGAGCGGGTCGTCTGCATGGCTCCTCCTCTCCCCTGCTGTTGTCTCTCAGCTCCAAAACCAAACACACCCCTAAAAATGACCAAACAAGTCAATCAAACTGGGAGATGGACCGTTCCAACTGATGAACACACATCGAGCTCACCTGTCTGACTGGAGCGAAGTGAGCTACTATTAGCTGGTTCCAACCAGGTGAGAGGCACTCTGTAATGCTGAGACAACAGAAACACAGTCCACTTCATCAGTGGTACTTTCCTCACACCGGCTGAAGCTCAGCTCTCGTGGTTCTTACCTGGAGCAGCAGGTGTAGACGGGTCACGCTCCAGTCCCTCAGGTGGTAAAGGCAGTCTCTGGGGTGGTGGGCGTGAAGACCTTTGGTCACACAGTCGGCAGAGAAACTACAGGTCTGGGTAAATAGATTTCAAATCTTTATAGATAGGGACTCGGGAACTGCCAAGACAATTAAAGGATTGTTATTCTTTAAATGCATGATGCTTCAAAGTATATAAGTAGCAGACAAAAGACATAACAGACAAAATATTGTCGTCAAGTCAATGGCCTTCCACACTGAACTAACGTTGCTTTATTGTTTAATGATATTGCACCTTCAAGGTCCAAAGGGAAATGATGCGCTGCTGCATTAAATCACAAACTGTTTTAAGAAAGTAAGACTAAACCCACGTGTTTCATGATGAACAAAGAAGATAGCAACCTCATCTTTAGATCACACTATAATTATATATAATTATTAGAAAATGTATTTCCTGCTGAAAATCCGTTGGAATGCTAAAACCTGAAACCTTAAAACTAAAATGACTTTTTTTTTTTTCTTTTTTTTTTTTAAGTACAGAAATGAGAAAATCTGAAATACATTTAAAAAATGAGAAGTTGAATTACAATAAAGGAAGGTAGACTGGACGTGAGTGAGAACCCTAACGGAATAATAGAGCGAGAAAGATGGACAGAGAGACAAATAGAGCTAGGCGGTGAAAAGAGGAGCTGAGAGTATTACATCTATTCCAAACCACTATTCCTTTGCACTGGAAAACGTCACAGGGTCACGGAAAGATGGTTAGGAGAATTCATGAGAAGTTAGGAAAAGATAGCTGTGGATTTTAGGAAATCCGACTTAAGGCGCGACGGGATACGCATGTTAGCAATGTCAGTCTGTCAAACTACAATTTCTCCAAAGATGGACTACAAAGAAGCATCTTAGATGTCTTCATGTGTTGCTGCAGGGCTGAGCTTCAAAGTCTCCTCTGCCAGGAGCCTCCCTACCATCAGGACTCCTGCAGTGCCTCCTCGTTGGCCCATCACAAATATTTAAAAGTTGAAGAGGTGTAAGAGAATTTGAAAAAAAGCCAATCAGTTTCAGCAAACATGCATGATTCAATGCAAAAAAAGGTATCAAACAGGAATTATTAGTTTGCAGTTAAATATATATATACTGTATATGCATATAAATAGAAAATAATATTCAGTATATGATATAAATACCATATGCTAAATATTATAAATATACAATTTAAATATCATGAAATAAATATATTATATATTATATAAATATATATATAAAATGAATACATTTATATCAAATCTATATGTATATATTTATATAAAATCTAATAGAACGTAGATATATATACATATATAGGTATATATACTAGGGCTGTCAATAGCTTAGTAAAAAATAACCATGATTAATAGTAATGAGTAAAGAGCAATCACTTTAGAAAGCGTGTATTTTAGACACTGTTTCATTTTTTAAGTTATTTCTACACACATGTGATCATCATCAAGGCAGAATTCCTTCCCTCTCCATCATTTGTGTTTCAAGTGCCAATAATATCATCAACGGCAACATGTAGCCAGGACGTTTTCCAAAGCACTGTCTTTTAGGGACACAGTGGTGGTCCTCTGCAGACTGTGTGCTGCACAGCGTTAGACGTTGAGATGGAAGTAGCCTTGCAGCTAGCTTGGCCTATCACTGCGTCACATGGTTGGTCTGCCACTCACCCCCCTTCTGCTTCTTTTACTTTCAATGCAAAAAGCGCTCTACATCTTCAGCTACCGTCCTGCTTTCTCCGATCTAACTGACTGCAGCTAGCGGCGGTTTCCATTCCGGGATCAATTTTACCGGCACACCAGAAGGCCGGAAGTAAACAAATAATCTCGGCCACATTAATGGCAGAATAACGCGTTAATGTTGACAGCCCAGTATTAAGATGCCCCTATGAACCTAGTTTCTTGGGAAAACACCAGTGTGTTGAGGAAAGACCCACAAAATTTCCAAAAAACAATATTTTGGATAAAACGTGCGTCCTGGTCGTGCTTCCTCACCGCGAGCCTGCGTGTCGTGCAGCTGGGTAACGATGTTAACTTTCACTAACACAGCAAGCTTGACGTAGTTATCCGTGTGAGTTTGCTCTAGTTGCTCCGGCAAAGTTCTTCTCTCAACCTGGTTCTGAAGGGCAGAATGTGCCGAGTTCGGGTCGGGTCGAGCAGAACACTACTCGCGATGGCCATGTCGTTAAGACTCGCACTGACGAGAGCGCTGCGATGGCCCACGGCTAAATCTATTTTAGGACGCTGATTGGCCTGATGATATGTCATTCATTTATATCTTTAATCAGTGATTGGCTAAACTGCTTCTTAGACCCGCCTCTTTTGGACCTGGCCTGAGCCCAGCTGAGACATGCAGAGGAGCAGAAAGGACGTGCAGGATCAGCATATATTTTGCGCAGATATCCTTTTTTAAAATAAATAAGTTGCCTAAGGATTCAAAGAGCAATAGTAGTGCTCTTTGAAGCAGCATTCCAACTATTACACGTTACATAAGACGGTATTTGAGTAGAGACTCACGGAGCCGGTGGTGAAGGTCTGACTGCAGCCTCCACAGAACTGATGCTGACACTGACTGCAGGTGAAGTGAAGACAACCTCCTCTAGACAGACTGAAGACCACCTGACAGTTCGGACACTCTGAGGAGGAGCATGAGACCACGTCAACCATCACATACGTGGCACCTTGGACATTTTGGTGGCGTCAATTATTTGCAGAATTCTTCTTGTAAATGTTTCATTGCCCCCCTATATTGTTTTCTGGTTAACATAGGTTGAGGAGCTTTGAGGGACTTCTGAGATCACCTGCATCCACCTGGAGTATCACCAGGGCCCAGCAGAGAGCAGTAACAAGTATGAGTAGCGCTCTAGTTTTTGTAGTAATGTTTCAAATGTGTAACAGACACCACTACACAGCATGTACACACAAATGATATACACATATATATGTATATATAGACCAATGCTGGTGTAGCTGGAGGTGGTGTGGGGATCCAGATGGTTCTGCTGCTTCCAGGCTCTGAACTGGTCACAGGTCAGTCCGTGATGTTGAGGAGACCACTACACAAACAGAACAGAGTCACTGAGGTTCTGAGGTTCTGATCTGAGATGTGTGTGTTTAAGAGAAAGAGCCTTACAGGAGATCTGCACTGACAGCACGTACTCTTCATACAGCTGGGACAGTCGATCCTCAACCGGTCGGCTTCATGAAGCATGCCAAATGAACACTGAAATACACACACACACACACACACGGTGTAACAGCAGGACCTGATGTGGTCTCAGCAGGACGTGATCTAGTTTCTTACATGAGCACACCAGCGGAAGTCTGGCATGTCCTGCAGAGCTCGATCTCGGAGTTTCCTCTGGAATAGCTCATGGATCTGAGGTGGCAGAAAGTGACGGATCTGCAAGCGCAAAGAAGAAGATGATTATCTGGTTTTCAGACGCTTAGCGGCTGTATTTAAGGAATCTACGTTAGCATGTACCAGGGAGCGTGTCCAGGGGACATATGACCCCTCACCTGTGTGTCCAGCAGGTTGAAGTATTCCATTTCTTCCTGACCTTTGACCTCAGGTTGGCCACACTGAGGACAAACGAGCTGATCGATGGTCTTCTCTTTAATGGCTGACAAGAAAAACGCCTTAAAACACGTCTGACACAAGAAACAGGCGCAGTGAGTCATGGTGATGATCTGCAGTAAATAGACAGGAGAAGAAGAAACCGGAGCAGTGGGTCATGGTGATGATCTGCAGTAAATAGACAGGAGAAGAAGAAACCGGAGCAGTGGGTCATGGTGATGATCTGCAGTAAATAGACAGGAGAAGAAGAAACAGGCGCAGTGAGTCATGGTGATGATCTGCAGTAAATAGACAGGAGAAGAAGAAACCGGAGCAGTGGGTCATGGTGATGATCTGCAGTAAATAGACAGGAGAAGAAGAAACCGGAGCAGTGGGTCATGGTGATGATCTGCAGTCAAGTCTGTTTCTCCAACGCTCGCCCTTAATCTTTAGAACCAAGCCCTTTTTTAGGCCCCTACTCGAAAATTGCATAGATAGAAAATGTTATATCTCTGCAACTATAAGGCCTATTTGATTCATCTGGGTGTCATAATACGCTTGTGAGTTTTTTTCCAGATGTGTAAATATCAGTACATGTGTTGCAGGTCAAGACAAAATAAAGATGATACAGTGTATAAATGAAAAAGTTTGAGTTTCGCCTTAAATAAAAAGCACTTGAAGCACATGAAGAGCACAAATGATAATATTTACACTCCAAACCTCTACCAGATCATAGCAAAATATGTTTTTGCTTTTGTTATCTCTCTGCAAAGGAGGATTTTGATAAAGTGAAGGACACATTTTTTCTCCAAATGAACCAATCTTTATGATTTTACCATTAAAATACATAAAAGCCTGTTAGTACGCAGGGCTCTTTCTCTGCAAAGGATTGGCCGAATAGCGTGATTAGCTCAATGGAACGAGGAAAGGGTCAGACTGGAGAAAGACAGGAGGACACGTAAATTATTACGTTATTACCACCAAGACAAAGAAAAACAGTTTGAGGTCCTCCCATCTGGCAGGAGGCTGTGGTCCATCAGGACCAAGACCTGCCCACTCCGAAACAGCTTCTTCCCGTCATCAGATGGTCTCCTAAATAAAAAAGTCCACCACTCACCCAGACACATCCCCAGGAGATTTGCACAGTAGTGCGTACTTATATATTTATATTGTTCATTTTCTTTGCTTGTATATTTGTATCTATTTGTATTTTATTCTTTATTCTATTTGTCCCGTAAAACTGCACCAATAAGCAGAACAAATTCTTGTATGTGTAACACACATGCAATAAACAGCTTCAGATTTTGATTATGAAGAGGGTGCTCGTACTGGCTAACAGGAGCGCTAGCAAAGACTTTTTATGGCAAACCGCTACGGTGAGGGACATTTTACAACCATCTTCTGTAGAAAATGAATGATCTTGCTGATGTGGTTTGGCTTTGGTTAGCTGAGCGTTTAACCAGAGAGGTGAGCTGTAATCTATTCACTCTGCCGACTGTCTTCTTTCTGTAGAGGTCGTTTGTGTGTTTAGCCAAAGTAGCGCTGAGCTACAAATCATTCCATTACCTACGTTGTCTAATTCTTGTCATGACTTATGATATTTGGTCATTTGTTGGGTGTTTTTGAGTTGTGTTGGAGCATTTCAATGTGTTTCCAGGCAGCCTTCTCTTTGCACATGTTATTAATTGTAATCCTTGCCCTCCGATTGGCTGAGCTGCTCTCACCTTGCTGAAGGACACCTGCTCCTGACAGATGGGGCAATTGTGAGTCAGGAAGCGGAGGGCTGATGGGAAATCTTTGCTTAGCTGGACTGCCTCCATGACATCAGAGGGACTGAAGCCCCGCCCCTCCATAGTGGCCAGTGACAGGAAGCTGGCTGCCTGGTCTGGAGGAAGACAAGCCGCCATCTGAAAGAGGGTGAAGACACAGCTGAGACGACCTGAGACCTGCTGAGCTACTGAGACGTGCAGACCCTAGTGGTCCACCTCACCTTGATAAGGTCAACTCTAGCAGTTGGTCCAGAATCTTGAACCAGAACCACAGAGCTTGTTTTGTGTCTGTCTCTGGCTTCTTCCGATTGGACCGTCTGAAGAGGTGAGTCACCCTGCTGGTTTCTGCTGGACTCTCCGTCCAGCCTGAGTGCCCCCATCTTCCAGCTGAGAGGGTCTGCAGAGGGACCACCTGTAGAAAGCATATATACTGCAGTACTGTAGTACTCCCAGTAACTCCACCAGTCCGCTCTTTCGAGGAACCGCCTCACCTCTCTCCTTTACCTCTGAGGAGCCTCCTCAACTATCTTCATGTCCTCTGAGGAACCGCCTCACCTCTCTCCTTTACCTCGGAGGAGCCACCTCAACTATCTTCATGTCCTCTAAGGAACCTTCTCACCCTCTCCTTTACCTCTGAGGAGCCTCCTCAACTATCTTCATGTCCACTGAGGAACCTTCTCACCTCTCCTTTTTCTCCGAGGAGTCTCCTCGCCTCTCTTCATGTCATCTGAGGAGCCTTCTCACCTCTCCTTTTCATTCTAAGGAGCCTCCTCACCTCTCTGCATGTCCTCTGAGGATCCCCATCACCTCTCTCCTTTTCTTTTTAGGAGCCTCCTCACTTCTCTCCTTGTCCTCTGAGGAGCCACCTACCTCTCTCCCTCTTCCCTGAGGAAACCCTTTACGGCCTGAAAAAGGTGTTGATGGTCAGATGACCCGACTGTGGGTCTCATGATCTAGTCAAGGACACTAGTCTCACCTGAGGGAGAGGAGCTGAGGAAAGGGTTGTTGGAGGAGGAAGATGAAGGATGAGGTGCACTAAAGTCAATTCCCAGCAACTCCTCAGTGTACGACCTCCTCACCCTAACCTCCTTGCCCTGCTTCCATTGGCTCGCTGCAACAGAGAGGGAGGGGCTTCATCAGGTCACTTTAGAAACAAACACACAAGCATGCTACTTTTAGCATGCTAAGAAGCTAACATTTATCCCAACTGTAGAACGGTAAGCGTACCTTTCTGGGACGAGGTGAAGGAGCGATTAGGCCTCTGGGGAGAGGAGTAGGACGAGCAGGAAGAGGGAGAGGTGGGGCTGGTGGAGGAGATGGAGGAGGAATAATGGATGCTGCAGGAGGAGACAACTCAAATATAATAACTCTGTTTTCCGGTCAGTTATTATGAACATCAAAGCAGGATGTTTGAACTTTGACCTTTGGGCAGGCACCTGCACACCTGCAGGGGACGGGGCTTTCACAGGAGACCTGGCATAAAGGGGCATGTCCTTCTGGAAGGCCCGCCTCATCTCTGACACAAGCAATGACAGGTTTGACACGCCCTGACAGGAAATGACAGATATTTTATTATAATATATTTCAGTCGAGTGTTGAACAGCACAGCCCCATGTGTGTTTGCTCCCCATCCCCACCCCAGACCTCTTCTTCAAACTAAAGTGTTCAGTTGACACTGATGAGAGGAAATCAACAAAGCAGCTTGATGGAGGAGGTCAAAGAACAAGCTGCTCATTGTCAGTGAAACCAGAGTCAATGGAGCTAAGCAGGTGAACTCCCTCTGACCCGTCGTGGTGCTGAAACATGCTGGAGAACCATTCAATTAGTTGTTCCAGATGTTGCTGAGCAATATTTACCCAAACACCCAAACCTCTGTGTCTCCATCAGACACCTGCCAACATTAATTATTTTTATTAAAGTAGGTCTCTTAATCTGATTTACTGAATATCTATTTGACCTGTGTAACTCTGCTCAATTAGATTAGATTAGATTCAATAAAGTTGAATCTAATCTAATCTAATCTCAGCCAACTAGCAAACAACGCTAACTGTCCAGATTACCCCCCCCCCCCCCCCCCCCCAGAGCAGCAGCTCTTACATGAGTCCAGTTAGTGAGTCCGTCTAGGTGAATGTTGCCGGAGGCGTCCACGCTAGAGGACGGGTTGATCACCATGGAGACGAAGGGACAGATGAAACAGCGAGGTCTGGACAGCGGGTGGGTCTCATGAAGCCAGATGCACACTGGGATATTATACTCACTTCCTGTAGACAAAAGGGAGCCCCTCCCCTGGTTAATGTCAATACATCTCACTCTGGGGTTGTTGTTGTTGTTGTTGTTTATAATCATGAAGATCCATAGCTCCTTGATCGGTTTGTATGTGTTGATGTGTTCAATAAATGTAATATGTGATAGGGAATGCACGAGCAGCTGTTAGATAAAAGGACGTGTAGAAGAAAAGCGTCACCTTCGTAGAGAACAGGAACCGTCCCTGATAAATATACCAGCTTCTTCTTCTCTTTGTTTGGAAAACCTTCTCAAAGGAGAAAACAATTCATCAAACATTATTCAATCAGTAATTATGTATCATTAATCATGAATCAATAGTACTGTCAGGTTAATGCTTCAGCAGTTCTCCAAACCAACGGGAGGTTAGTTACAGTAGCTGGCTGCTGATTAGCTTCTCGTCACCATGGTAACGTGTACCACATAAACAATGTAACTGTAAGCAAGTTATTTGTATAACTATGAATAAGAACACGCCCACTGAAAGGCGTGGCTCCAGTATGAATGACAATTAGATCAAGTGTTGTGTTGAATAAATTAATAATTCAAGAAATAAACCAATGAATAAATGAAAGAATGAAGGAGTAAATAAATTATACTCACAGTAAAAATCTACAAAGAGACGAAGATCACAGAAGAGAGAGCGAACTTTCTGAAGATCAGACAGAGTTTCATCTGGGGAGCTGTAGTGACACTGGGGGGAGGAGGGGACATTCACAGGTTCAGGGCTGGTTGTTTTTAGCAACTAGCTCTCTAAGCTAACCCTCTGAATAGAATATCTTGTTAGCCGGTTAGCATTAGTTAGCAGGTGAAACACAAACTTGTTTTGTTTTTCCTATGTAGGTTAATAAAGTTATATTTTGAAGCAGAAGTTGAAGGGTTAACGGTTCATCTTCACCTCCGCTAGAGTCTGCAGCTCCGCTTCAGCTCCCACTCTCGACATCTCATCCAAGATGAACTCAAGAACTCTTTATGTTCTCCTGCTAATAGGCTAGCGGGCTAGCGGTTTGGACGCTTTCAAACATGACACACCCGCATCCACTTCCAGACTTTCAAATTAAAAGCAACAATCCAAATGAATTAAATGAAAAAGAAATATATATGCATATGTTACAACGTATTTTCAAACACCATATAGACAGTATACCTTTATTATTATTTAACCTTTATTTAATCAGTGCATCAGATATTATGGTCTATCCTCTGATTCAATTGATTCAAAGGCAATTGATAAAATTGATAACAATCTGGATATTTTGATTGATGGCAAGTGGGGTCGCTCTGAAAACGCAGAAGCATGAACTAGGCTTTACCCTCAACCTTTTCTCCAGGTAGGGCACCTGTGGCTGGAAAGTGAGGAGGTCATCAATCTAAATATCCAGATTTTTATCAGTCAATTACCTTTATTTAATTTCCTTCAAAAGTTACCACCAAAGGGATATACTGTGGCCTAATAACATTTTAAAGAATCAGAGGATAGACCCTAATATCTGATGCGCTGATACCTATTCTCGTGGTAGCTGAGAAAGAGACAGCTTGCTCCGAGAGTACTGAGTTAATAAGCATTACCCTCAAAAATTATGGTCAACTGTCACTTATCTAAACTTGCTGGGTCACCACCTTTTAAACCAGGGGTGTCAAATTCATTTTAGGTTTGGACAGATACTCCCCACTTTGATCTCAAGTAGGCCACACCATTAAAAATCACAGGGGGGGCGCGGATGGTCCGGCCGACAGGGGGGACACGGTGATTTTTTAAGGAGTGACGCCGTGGTCATAAAGGTCTAACGCAGCAGGGGTTCCCACACTTTTTCACTCACCCCCTCCCGCTAGGGCAGTTCGCTCGAATAATGATAATTACGAGCAGTGGCGGTAACAAAACGGAACAACAGTGCTGCCTACCGGAAGCGTACTTGTTGACTAGTATTACATGAGGTAACTGGGCCCCCCCTCCTTGTTTTATTGATTTTTTTAAACTGTAATCCTGGATTGGCTCAACAGCTGATACACATCCGGAGCAGCAGGTGGCGGTGATGCTCCAATAAACCCGCCGTAAACACCGTAGAAGAAGTACAAGATGACTAACTAGTCAATAAAGAAGACGTCGCACTTCTCATTAGCTTTGGCTTTGTAAGGAGCTGATACCTGGAAACAAACCTTTGGATTAAAGTTCACACGTCACTGCTGCAGTAAGTTGCCGTCACTCCTGCTTTCTAAACGTTTTAAATGTTTGAAGGTTTCACACCACCGGAAGTCCGATTTGCTAAACTTCAAGCTAAGGGACTGACGTCACATAGTTAGCATCAGAGCTAACGGGATCTTGTTAAGTATGATGGTTAATATTAGAGTGCACATCCAGAACAGACCCCACGAAAAGCACTGGAGTTTTAGACTTTACTGTTTCAGGGTTAAATAGCAAAGTCGTATCTATAATAAGCACATATATTTAGTTATCAATAGAGATGCACAGTTAATCGGTAATCAATAATCATCCACGTGTTAATGTTATCCGCCACTCAGCTGTGTTGATGTAGGAGACATGAGACACGTTTGTGCAATGTAGAAGACATGTTGATGCCTGTCTGTCTGTCCGTCCGTCCTCAGGTGTGATGTAGGAGACATGTCTCTCCAGGTGGTGCTGCAGCAGAGGATCACCTCTGCTCAGGTGTTACTGCAGAGGGCGGAGCATCTGTGTCCAGGGGTGGAGGGTCACCAGAAGCTGTGTGGAAAGCTGCGGGCAGAGTTGCGCTTCCTGCGGCGGGTGGAGTCCGGAGAGTTGCAGGTCAAAGAGTCACATCTGCACAGCACCAACCTGACTCACCTGACGGCCATCGTGGAGTCGGTGGCAAGTCTGGAAGACGTGGTCGCCCTACTACATGTCTTCACCTACCTGGACGCTGGTGGCCACAGGCAGACGCTGGTGGTGGACGTGGTGGCCAACGGGGGACACACCTGGGTGAAGGCAGTGGGAAGGAAGGCGGAGGCTCTGCACAACATCTGGCAGGGGCGGGGCCAGTACGGGGACAAGAGCATCATCAGCCAGGCTGAGGACTTCCTGCGGGCCAGCCGGCAGCAGCCTGTCCAGTACCGACACCCCCACATCGCCTTCGCCTTCTACAACGGCGTCTCATGGCCGATGGCCCAACGCCTCAAGGAAATGGACATCGCTGTCAGAGGGGACATTGTGGCCGTCAACAACGTGACACTGGAGGAGGAGGAGGAGGAGCAGCAGGAGGAGGAGCGTGCTAAAGATAACGAGGAGGAGCCCGCTGAAGATGAGGAGGAGCCAGCTGAATATGGTGACGAGGAGGACGAGGAGGAGGAGGAGGAGGAGCTGACCCAAGTTGACCGGGGAACAGTGGTGGCCAGCTTGGCGTTTCCCGCCCAGGTGAAGGTGGAAGAGTGTCGTCGCGTTAACCTGGACATCACCACGCTCATCACGTACGTGTCATCGCTGAGTCACGGGCGATGTCATTTCTCCTTCCAGGAGCCCGTGCTGACGGAGCAGGCGACCCAGGAGCGCCGGCTGCAGGTTCTGCCACTGTTGGACGACTTCATGCGAGGAAAAGAGTTGTTTGCCTGCCGCGCCGCCGTCCGCGACTTCCAACTGATTCTGGACACGCTGGGGGGGCCGGGCGAGAAGGAGCGCGCTCAGACGCTGCTCGCTCGCCTCCAGCTGGTGGACGACCGGCCGTCGGAGCGCACGCTGTGCCTCACGCACACCGCCAAGGTCAACGAGCGCTCACTCGCCATCTTTGGCACCGGAGACTCGCTAAGGGCTGTTACCATGACGGCAAATAGCCGATTTGTCAGGGCAGCGGCCAATCAGGGCGTCCGATACAGCGTGTTCATCCACCAACCGAGGGCCCTGACCGAGGGCAAGGAGTGGAGGGCCACGCCCATATGAGGACTTCCTGTGCAGGGGCAGGATGGGAGTTATAAATAAATCTGATCAGCTGACCGTTAAGTTTGTGGAATGACATCAGAATAAAGCGACAAACTCACTTCCTGTTCTACTGTCATTTGTGTTTTAATCATAAGGTCGGCGGTTGGCTCTCCGACTCCACATGTTGAAGGGTTCTTACCAAACTACCAGGAAGTACCAGGATGGTCCTTCTTGTCACATTCTGTGGAGTGACGCAAAGCCCAAGCCGGGTTCCCCCGGTCACACCGCCGAGTGTTTGAGGCTCTCCGACGTTTTGAAGGGAATTTTTACAATGTGACATTAAAAACAGGGGAAACCAGTGACCTCACGGAGACATAAAAAAGGTAGGCGTCCTAATGAAATGTATATAGGGTTTGCCTAGGGTCGTTGTGGTGCAGGGGTTAGAGAAGGTGTGCTGGGAAGCACAAGGTTAGTTCAATTCCAGGCTGCCCCATGTCGAAGTGTCCCTGAGCAAGACACCTGACCCCTAATTGCTTCCCGGGCAAAAATGTGAAAAAAGCGTGTAATGTAAGTTGCTTTGGATAAAAGCGTCTGCTAAATGACCTGTAATGTATATATTTTAAAACACATTAAATAAGACCATATTCATTTATAAAATATGAATTTTGGGATCCAAGCAATTAAAAAAAAAACATAAATTAATATGACCTGAAAGGGGATTTAAGTGACTTTGAGGCTCGTTGTTGGTGCCAGACGGGGTCTGATGGTCTGACGACGTCACTAACTGCAGGGCCCCGTTCCTCGTTTCATTTTCAGGATGAGATGACGTAGATGAAGCTTTTCGTTTGCATGAAGCAAGTTTGGCAAAATCACCACAGAAACACATTGAAAAACTTGAACCTGGTCCAACGCAGGTTCATTTGTGCTGTTTGTCACTCCCCTGGGAAAAAAACAGTCTCACACTGAGGCAACTGGGTGATTGGGGAGCACAGATGTCCTCCAATTTGATAAAATGTAATCTGCAGCCCAAAATCACAAATTTGCCTCAGAGGCAAATTTACAGTCTGTACACATACAACATCCTCTGTCCCGAAACCTTCACATCGGCACAGGAAAAACTCCCCAAACAATGAAAAAACCCTTACAAGAGGGAAAAAAGGGAAGAAACCTCAGTGAGAACGTCAGAGGAGGATCCGTCTCCTGATGACAGACTACAATGATGTCATGTGTACAGAATGAACAATGTAGAATACATGAGACTATATGACAGAAATGATTCAAGTAACTGTGAGTAGTAAACCAGACGCACAGCAGGACCACTGCAGGGACCACCACCATCAGATAGAACCACCATCAGATAGGACCACCATCAGGTAGAACCACCATCAGATAGAACCACCATCACATAGAACCACCATCACATAGAACCACCATCCACAGAAGCCTGTGGGGAGGGAGAGCACAGAGACTTTAGGAGAGGGTAATGTTGGTTTACGAGTACAGTAATATGATAAATATCAAAAATAATAATGATGATGATCTACGGAGACCTGATAGGGGAGAAAGCACAAAAAACTCCTGGAAAGAAGCTGAATTAGTCATGTGCATTAATAAAACGTGAATTATGGTAGAACGAGAGCGTGAGAGAGGAGCTCGGTGTGTCCTAAGAAGGTTCCACAAAAGAGGAGCTTGATAACTGAAGGCTCTGGCCCCCAGCCTACTTTTTAAAACCATAGGAACAACAAGTAACCAGCATCTATGGAGCACAGCTGCCTTGTAGGGCAATAAGGTGTTACAAGATATGACGGTGCCTCACCAGCAAGTAGCCTTGCAGGTGAGGAGAAGTACCTTAAAATCTATTCTTGATTTAACAGGGAGCCAGTGCAGAGAAGTTAATACAGGAGTGACATGATCCCTTTTCTTTGTTACCTACGTATGTTACGTAGATGAAAATAGGCAGTCCTTGAAGTCTTCTTGCGAGTTGAAGGTCATATCCTGGTCAAAGATGTACAATACGTTCAATTACGACAAATGATTCAAATACACAATAAATAACCCCTCGTATGCATTCATGATCATCTCCTGCTCGTCTTTGAGTCTATTTGCCATTTTACTGTTGGTTTCGGTGATTGACTCTTCTGAAGTAGGGTGCACACGCGCGATTATCCCTAAAGTGTGGTTCAAACTAACGAGGCGGTTTGAGTGCGGATCAGCCTTTGAGGAACCGAGATAGCCTGACATCAATCATCTCATTCATTTCAGCTGGATAATGGGACATTTGATCGATTTTGTTGAACCACAGGGCCCTGATCTACTGGGATCCAAACACACAACCATCTCTGTGGTTCAGAGGTTGCTCCCAAAAAGAGAAACTATCCAGTGAGCAGCAGTTGTTGATGGTCAGAGGAGAACAGGCACACTGGTTCCACGTGATAGAAAGCAACAGGAAGTCAAATAAGCACTCGTTACCACCAAGGAACGCACAACACGTGGAACCTGGAAGAAGACGGGCTGCAGCAGCAGAAGACCACACCAGGGGCCCCTCCGGTCAGCGACCAACAGGAAACAGACTCACACCGGCTCACCACAGGGGACAATAGATTGGACAAACGTTCCATGGTCGGTCAGAATGTGGAGTAACCATGAAAGCCTGGATCCATCCTGCCTCGTGCCGACGCTTCAGGCTGCTGTGATGGTGGGGGGACATTTTCTTGGCTCACTTTGGGCCCCGTAGTACCCATCAAGCATGGTTTAAATGCTGCAGCCTGCCTATTGTTGCGGACCATGTCCATCCCTTTAGGACCACGGTGTACCATCTTCTGATGATGCACCACGTCACAAAGCTCTTATCATCTCATGGGGTTTCTTGAACATGACGATGAGTTCACTGTACTCCGATGGCCTCAAGGTACCACATCTCAATCCAGCAGAGCACCTTTGGCACGTGGTGGAACGGGACATTCACATCACAGATGTGCAGCCGATAAACCTGCAGCAACTGCTGCTATCATGTCAATATGGACCAGCATCTCTGAGGAAGCTTCTAATACTCCGTTGAAAGTATAAAAATAAAGAATTAAGGGGGTCCAACCTTTTACTAGCAAGGTGGATATATTTACAATGATATTATCTTGAATTTGAAGAAAATAATCACAATTCATTTAAATGAAATCAGTATAGAAAACAAACCAACACAATAAAAAACAAACTGCATGAGATAATAAATACTGTTTACTGATACGTTTAACAGAGGTTGATTGACTGCATGCTGTATGGGGTTAAGGCACATGAAGCTATGGGTTCAGAGGTCAGGTAGGTTAAAACTAGTTTCCTTTGACACATCGATTATAAAACACCTGAGAAGGTGAGATGCAAAGGGACACATAACACTTAAGATATCAGTCCATCTGAGAGGAGCTCACTCAAAGGGAGGAGCAGAACATGGGTGACATGTGACTTGACGGGTCAGTCTTTTAGCTTTCAGGTGATCCACCTGCGAGGAGGTACGAGGTCACAGCAGAAGGAGGCCAGGTCAGCACCTTACATCAACTTTTAGCTTGTTTCTTCTTCTTAACGAGTTCCGCTAACATCTTGTAACGAATCATACACTCCTCCTGAAAAACAAGAACAACACCGAGATCAGTGAAACATCAATCATTCAATAATCGATCAGTTGATCAGGCCCAAAGCAGAGGGAGTGTAAGAATCAAATATATTCTTAATATCCAATTCATGATACTAAAAGTACACACAACTACACAAACCACTCATCTACGTCTTTAACTCATTTATCTAACCACTAAGAGCTTTAGTTACCATGGTGACTGAGCCTGAGCTTCAGTTACCATGGTGACTGAGCCTGAGCTTTAGTTACCATGGTGACGGACCCTGAGCTTCAGTTACCATGGTGACCGAGTCTGAGCTTTAGTTACCATGGTGACCGAGTCTGAGCTTTAGTTACCATGGTGACCGAGTCTGAGCTTTAGTTACCATGGTGACCGAGTCTGAGCTTTAGTTATCATGGTGACCGAGCCTGAGCTTCAGTTACCATGGTGACCGAGCCTGAGCTTTAGTTATCATGGTGACCGAGCCTGAGCTTTAGTTATCATGGTGACCGAGCCTGAGCTTTAGTTATCATGGTGACCGAGCCTGAGCTTCAGTTACCATGGTGACCGAGTCTGAGCTTTAGTTATCATGGTGACCGAGCCTGAGCTTTAGTTATCATGGTGACCGAGCCTGAGCTTTAGTTATCATGGTGACCGAGCCTGAGCTTCAGTTACCATGGTGACCGAGCCTGAGCTTTAGTTACCATGGTGACCGAGCCTGAGCTTCAGTTACCATGGTGACTGAGCCTGAGCTTTAGTTACCATGGTGACCGAGCCTGAGCTTTAGTTATCATGGTGACCGAGCCTGAGCTTCAGTTACCATGGTGACCGAGCCTGAGCTTCAGTTACCATGGTGACCGAGCCTGAGCTTTAGTTACCATGGTGACCGAGCCTGAGCTTCAGTTACCATGGTGACCGAGTCTGAGCTTCAGTTACCATGGTGACCGAGTCTGAGCTTTAGTTACCATGGTGACCGAGTCTGAGCTTTAGTTATCATGGTGACCGAGCCTGAGCTTTAGTTACCATGGTGACCGAGCCTGAGCTTCAGTTACCATGGTGACCGAGCCTGAGCTTCAGTTACCATGGTGACCGAGCCTGAGCTTTAGTTACCTCCCTTTCTGAAACATCATCTCAGGGTGAACAAACTGAGTTTACACTAAAGCTGCTTCTTGAAACGGACCCCTGGTGTGTGTGAGGACAGCGAGAGCAGGCTGAGCTCAGGTGTTTCCTCCTCCAGTACCTGCAGGGAGAGTGTCCACACTAATGGAGCTACAGGCCCACGGGGTCTCACAAAGAGCTAATGAGCAAGGCATCGGGGGAGATTGAGCCCAGAATATGCGGAAGGCCACGGACGTTATTGGGTGGTCTGTGCCAACCTATCTTCAGGGTGCATGGAGGATGACACAACGCTTTTGGAGTCACACACCAGATCGTCTGTACCTTAATTACCAAAGAGTCCAAACACTCACCCTGAGGGTGAAACTACACAATTGAGGGTCATGAAGTTCTAGTAA